TCCCCTGCTCACGCTGTCTCTCTCTCTCCTAGAAATAAATTAAAAAAACATTTAAAAAAAAAAAAAAAGAAGAAATGCTGGTTCAGAAAAATTCAGATTTGGTCTGGCCTTTACAGTGTTCTTCAAAGAATAGTTTGCAAACGAGTTCCAATCTACCAACTGTTATCAGTCTATGATGAAGTTAAGTACAGAAATGGAGAGTAAGCATTTAGAAACTGTTGGAGCAGTCTGACATTGCTGTGAAATCATAGCTATGATTTTGTATTTTATAAAAGTATCAATTCATAACATACCTGTGGGGGAGAAACTGCTCCTTCACCACAGTTAATCTGAGAAGTGCTTCTTCCTACAATCAGCTGCGAGTCTCCTACAAGCCCCCTCTTTTTCTGCTTTTACAGAATACATTGTACAGGAGGGAAAAAAAACCTTTACCCTCTTAGGTTAGGTGGCTGGGTCTGTGAATTAAAGTGACCAACACCAGAGTAACAGGAAAAAATACTTATTTTGTTGTATGCACGTGACAGCCCCAGTTGGGGGACAGCCTCATAGGAAAAAAGTGAAAACCACAAAGAGGCGGTTAGACCCAGGTGCTTATATACCATTTTAACAAAGAGTAATACAGTCTGAAGAGACTAGACAAAGGAAGAGTTTGGGAGTCTCAGGTAAGTTGTGAGAAGGCAACCAGGAAATATATGGTAAATAAGAGTTGTTTAGTTCAGTTTGTAATGCAGGTAAGAGTAGTTCTCTTCCTAGTACATGAGAGAGGAATGGGGGAAATTTAAAGCCCCATTTTCAGGCAGAATGGACAAGAGCAGAGCGTTCTTCCTGTGTCTGCTGTTTTTTAATTGCCTTCAGCTCAAAATAACCCTATGCCAAGGTGTCATATTCTGATCCCTTCAATATATAGCCAGCCACACACTGTGCCTCTAGACGTCTGATCTATTTTGTTTGGCATCTTTGTTTTGGAATTTTTTTAATTGTATAAGTAATTCATGTTTATTGTAAATTTTTTTAAAATTCAGATAGACGAAAGGAACAGCTAAGCTCATTCATGATCCCACCACTTTCACAAGTCAGAGTAAACCTCTCATAGTTTTTCTCTGCGTATAGGATAGAAGCATTCCCCGTACTCTTCTAAAGTGGGGCTTCTCCCTCTTATTTTACTCCTTTGGAATGGAACCAAGCAGGAAAATTTAGAACATGCTTTTTGAAGCTCCTTAGAGGCCCCAGAAACACCCTAAGATGGGAAGCAAAGAGAAAAACAATAAAAGAAGCCTTGGCCTTGTTTTTAGAAGTATTACCAAATAAAGATGATCAAAGATTTGAGACATCAAACTTTTCAAAGTTGTTTATCAGGATTGTATTATGAGTATGTATATTTTAAATTTCAATGATGAGTAAAATTTGCATAAATAGTATTTTTCATTTTTCCATATATCATAAAATTTAAAATGAATGAATTGCCTTTTACTTTAATATTAGTGTTACAAATAATCGAACAGTTTTAATAATAGATTACTTTCACAGTGATGACTGACTTTTAGATGAGCTCCTGAAAGAATATGCGTGCACATTTAAAGTTACACAGGTGATTTTGTTTGTTACCCAGGTTATGAACCATTGTATTAAAAAAATGTACAATGGCCAGAAGATCTCATTTTTAAGACTGACTAAAAGTAGTCTAGGGCAAAAAAAAACAAAACAAAACCCAATTATCAATATTTGGAACCAATATGAAGAAAACCTTAAAACTGTGACTTACAGACATGAAAGGAAATCCACAACATATCATGTTCATAGATGAGAATATGAGAAAAAATCTTAATTTCTAATAATTTATCTATAAATATAATACTATCTCAGGCAAAATATTGAAAATTTTTAACATTGGATGAACTAATTTTAATGTTTAGCTGGAAGAAAAAATTCATAAGAAAATGTTGGCAAAGAATAATAATGAAATGACTTTATTTTTCCAAATATTAAAATACACTACACTATTAGAGGGCTGCCTGGCTGCCTCAGTCAGTAGAACATGCAACTCTTGATCTCAGAGTCATAAGTTTAAGCCCCATGTTGGGTGTGGAGCTTAAAAAATAAAATATAAATTAAAATGTTGAAAAACTCTATTACAATATTAAAAATGGTGTGGTACCAGATACAAGAATAGACAGGTCAGTGGGAAAGCCTAGAAACCTGAAAATAACCTGTGTATGTGCATGTGCAGAGACTGTCATTTCAAATACTAGTATGTCAGATATGACCCAAAAAATGTGTCGATTCATGCTGCTAAGTACATTACAAGGCAGTAATTTCCAGTTGTTTCTCACTGACTGGTTCCCTTGTTAGGCATTGACCTCTCACCACTTGACTACTTTCTCCTACCCCTCAGACTCTTTTTTTTCCCTTCTTCCAGGTGCCTCCAAAAAATCTTCCTCCAGCTCTCAGGAGAGCTCCCAGATTCTTATTGCTTGGCGATGCAGTCAATTTAGCTCTCCTTTGCCTAACTCCTCTCTCAGCTGAATAGTGCTCATCCTCACATCTCACAATTAAACCAGAAACCGCCTAAACAGAACTGCAATTCCCTCACTGGGAGGGGTCCCTTAGTTCTCCTAGATCAAGCAACCAGCTTAATTGCAGCCCACTTTAGAAATAGTTTTTTTTTCCTCCCCGCAATACAAAGAAATGAAAAATATTCAGCCTCTCTAGTAATCAAGGAAATACAAATTAAAGCAATCATGACTGACTTCTTTCCCTCCTGTCTGACTGGCAAAGATCAAAAAGGTATAGTCAGCCTAGTGGAGGCAATGTAGAGGAAAGGACACTTTCGCAATTAGGGCAGTATAGCATATTAAATTTTTTCAGGAGTATATCAAAAGCATTATTGTATATGCTCGACCTTTAGGACAAGTGCAATTCTGCTTATAAGACCTTTACTCTAGCAAAATATTTTGACTGTTCAAACATGTGACCATGTTCATTCGGGCTTTATTTCTGATGGTGGAAAATGGTCATTACCATACTTCAGAGTAGACTTCCCCATCACAAAGATTATTTTATACAGAAGAATTCTATTTGACATTGGAAAATGTTCATCAGCTGTGAATTGGAAACTAGGCAAATGTTGTAAAGCCTTGTATAAATGTGAAAGTATTCTCATTTATATAAAACTACACCAAGATTTAGATAATATAGTCAATTATTCATTAAATATTTACCGTGTGCTCAGTCTTCTGCTGGGTATTAGGTGGGAGTATGTTGAAAGTATAAAACATACTTGTTCTTGGGGCGCCCACATGGCTCAGTTGGATAAGTGTCTGACTTTGGCTCAGGTCATGATCTTGCAGTCTGTGAGTTCTAGCCCTGCATCAGGCTCTGAGCTGTCATGAGCCCAGCATACGGTTCTGTGCTCATAGCTCAGAGCCTGGAACCTGCTTCAGATTCTGTGTCTCCCTCTCTCTGCCCCTCCCCTGCTCATGCTCTGTGTATATGTCTCTCTCTCAAAAAAAACAAAACAAAACAAAACAAAAAACATGTTCTTTAGGGCTTTACACATCTTATTGAACTGTTGAGCTTGAATATGTGCATTTGTTCCTTGCACACCCAGCAGGTGTAGCTGTAGGTAATGGGAGCAGTGAATATAGAAACAAATTTGAATCCTGTCTCTGTAACCTCCTTGTCTACTCAGACAAATAATTTGAGAATGAGAAGGATGCTGACTTTGTGGGGTGATTGTAAGAATGGAGATATAACAAGAAGCATTTCCCATGATTCTTGGTGAATCATAATATAAGTAATGATAATTCATTATTATTAATACTACTTAGTAATTATTAGTAATAGTAATGAATAGTTTCTTTAGTTTCCCTTCTAGAAGTCTCGGTTCTTCAGTGTGAGACTTGCAGCAGCTACACTGGAGTCTCCGCTACTTGAATAAGTGAAGGAATGAAATACTGGATTTGAAAACACTTTGTATGCTTTGAAAGCATTATGAAAATGTCGGCTATTAATATTTGAATAATTTTATTACTAGATATAATCTGGCAAAAGTTACATGTGTATGTATGTAAATGCTAAATGTATGTAAGTGCTAAGTGTTAGGATATGGGCATATAGGATTGTTATAGAACTTAAGCAAATGAAAGCCTTGATGAGACTGGTATTTCACCGAGGGGGCTTTCTGGGAAAGGTGTGATTGGAATTGGGCCTTGGATTAAGGTAGGTTTTGAATATGAGGAACAATATACTGAGAAGCATGTGACAAAAAAAAGAAAACTATATGTTCAGGGAATAGTAATTAAGACTAGCCTGCCTAGAGAGTGAGGGATTCTTGAGGAGCCATTGGATAGGACAGGTAGAAGAGGCAAGGTGTGGCCGACACAAGAGACCTTACTGATCTGAAAAAGAAGAACCATTTTAAGTTGGGGGCAAAAGAATCACATTCTGTCACCAACACATCAGTGTGTTAGAATATGTTTGTAGCAACTGACTTTGGTAATGGAGTGTGAGCAAAAGAAATTATGAATTAGAGGTTTTCCTTCTACAGTATATAGTTTGAATGCCCATTTAGTGGTGATAACTACAGCTAAATATTTCAGAATCCTTGTCAGAGTCTTAAAATATCATGTGACATGACTACATACAGATAATTTTGGAACTTGACTCAAAAAATATGCCCATAATCCCCAACATTGCCCTTTTCTGAGGCTTCTTGTTGTGATGACCTAAAGGGAATTTATGGTCCATTTTCTACACCTTATGTTATTTGATGCCACCATTTGCTTGTTCTTTGTATTTCTTTCCATGTAGATTTTCAGTGTTAAGATGGTTGTAATATCCTTTATAATTTGTGTATCTTTCTTTGAAAGAAAAGAGATTTAAATAACTTATTAGAATCATTAGCTGTAGAGAGCTAGATAACTTAGTTACAGTGTATTCATTTTCAGTATTTTCTTCCTGGAGTTTCCTCTTAAATATTTTTTTCTCACATTTCTTTACAGTATGGATGGCGCAGATCTGTGTTTTGAAATCGTAAAGCGCGCTGACGCTGGCTTTGTATACAGTGAAGCTGTAGCCAGGTATGTAATTTGTATTGACTCAGAGGTCAAGGTGGAAATAAAAGAAGGAAATGACAGAGAAATCACATGACGTGACCTGCTTTTTGAACTGACGTTGAGCAGACTGTTACTCTTTCCTACGAGGATCATGTCTGTTTTAGTGTGCGGTAGTGGAGCCGACTAGTGACTGGAAATGCAAAATACTGAATTTATTAACATGAGTGTACAGCTTAACCTAGTACTGTTGCCCTTCCCATTTGTGATGACTTTTATTCAAGAAGGGATTTTGTAGCTCAAGAACTATGAAGAATCAAATTTGGGGGTTTTGTGTGTGTGTATGTTTGATCTTTGTTTTGGGCAGATGAGCCTTCTTCTTCATTTTGCCTTTTAGTGATAGCACATTGTTATGACCAGTTAATCTGATGAAATGCACAGAACAGTAGAAGGAGTAGAAATAATAGCACAGTTTTCCTGCCAAATATATGTGCTTCAGGCCAGTGTGTGATCTCCCAAGTAAATGGTGGCTATTGTTTTAAGTCAAGGTGTTATAAAGAACTAATGACTCAAAATAAGGAGTAAAGTTGAAAAATCACAGGAACCATGCACCAGGCCACTTGCTTACAGATTTGGAGCAATACAGCTTTCTGCTTTGGTGTCATTCAGTCACATCATAAATGCCCACTTCAGTGGGTTGCCTTTTTAATACATGGGATCTCCTCAGTCACCAGCCATAATATATTGAAGGATTCAAACTCATAAACCCACTAGGATTTATGAAAACTTTCTACCTTCTGAGAAACAGTTACCATTAAATGATTATAACTTCCTCCTGTCATTCTTTACATAACCATGGCATCTGGGACAGATACAGGTAGAAATAGCTTAGAAACTATCTGATACAACTCTGAGCTCAGAATGCCTTACCTTTCTTCAGATTCATTGTCCTGCCTCCTCCTGGCTAAGGAGCAAGGGCCCCAGTCTCAGGAGACAAAGCAGCCATAGCTATAGCACAAGAGGAAGAATACACTCAAGTGAGGTCGCTGCTGTGATGTGCTGCTGGAGCTAGGGAGAAGCAGCAGATGAAAGTTTATATATAGTAATTGTAATGACTCCTTTAAACTCCTAATGTATTCGTGGTAGAACTGAGGCTAGATATTCTCTTTTCTTCTGTGCCATACTCACTAAAGTACATTCTGTGCGGGGAGGTTTAAATCCCATTTTCGTATTAGTTTTGAGTTCTTACCACAATTAAAATTTTTTATTCTGTATCATGCTTCAGAATTTAAAAGCATTCTTTAATACCAAAATAGTCAATGCCATCTTGATTTTTCTTACAATATAGCAGTAAACCACTTTATCCAACTGAATGAAACTCTCAGAGCCTTGCATCTTACTGTCTATATTACTTCTTCAAAAATTTGAGGCAACCTACCTATTGTACTTTCCCAAATTGATCTTTCAACAGCAGCATCAAATAGGGAAAACTAAAAATTCTAAACATTGATTTTTATAGAACAGTGAAGCTTGATGAAGGAAGATGACTTTTTTCCTTTTGAATCACAGTAACACTGGAGTACTGTGAGAAATAAGCCCACTGACCTAATCAAAGGAGGGACACGGAGACTCAGAGCACAGTGAAGCGAGGCTTTAATCAACATTCTTGCAAGAGCGGGTGCGTGGACAGGCACACTTGGGGCAGGCACAGCAGACAATTTATCTCCTAGTGTGCAAGCCCCTCCGCCTGATTCTTCATTGGCTGAGTATATAGAGGTTACAGCCTTACCCGGAAGTCGCCTATGCCCACGTAAGGCAAAAAGTAGTCAGATTGGAACAAATGTACATTCCCTGAGGTGACGCAGAGGTTTCAGTCCCTCCTCCCTTTGTTCTTTGGTGCATGCTCATTGCAAAGCCTGCGAAAATAAGCCCAAAAAAAGGAGAAGGGAACAAGAACCAGGAAGTGAAGTGTCTAAGGGTCTAGGGCTCCATTGTTGGGGGGGGGGGCGCAGTTCATACATATTTCCAATAGGTTATAAACCTATTAATTAGACAGCACAGCTTTTATTTGGTATTTCTGAAAATGAATCCTCTCCCTTACTTCTCAGAGATACCTGGCACATATGCTGTCAGGGTTGATGTTAAACCAGTACCACATTTACCATGTTCCCCGACTCATCCATATTGCTTTTCCTTGACTTTGAGCCTGTCTGTGCCATTGGCCTGGGTGTCAGGATAAGGAGAATAGTAATATGTAGAGGTGATGCCATACGGTGAAATGGCTTGGTGGGGGGAGGGGTCTTTCCCAATCTCTAGATTTATAGTAAAGCTAGATGTTTCTATATATCAAGATGAAAGCCTGTTGATTTTTAAATCTACCTATATTTTCTGTTAAAATGGTGATTTTTTTTTTTTTTTTTTATGGAAGGAACTTTCCAGAATGGACCAGTAAAGAGTAGTATTGGAACCAATAGGTGACACTGTAAAGAGAGAGATTTGGTACAATCTATTAAGGATTCTTCCTAAAAAAGACAAAAGGCAGGAGGGCCATCCTCAGAAAGTAGTATTAGGCATGTTCCCTTTTGCAGAGGATCATGACCAAATAACAAGGGCATGTAGAGCCTTCCTTTGGTTGTAGAACATTCAGCCAGTTGACATTGAACTTCCCCTTCTCTGATTCTGTGATTTGTTGTTGGGAAATTTAGCTTGTATCAGTATTCTAGTGAGACCTACTGCAAGGAGACTCTGAGACACCAAGTAATCAAATTGATAATGGTTTTCTCCAATTGGCTGAGCTTCCAGAGAAGCAGCAAAGCATGGCATAAAATAAAACTGTGTACAGTCCTTACAACCCAATTAGTGATTACCTCTGTTCCTTCAGGGGTGAGGAGTTATGGAGCACACTAACATACAGAATCAGATTATCAGATCACACTCTTACAAATCAGAGCAGTCTTCTTCCCTAGTACCAAGCTTTACTAAATAATTATAGGGATACAGGTGATCAAAAGGCTCAGCTGAACCAGACAGGTGTGGGTTTTCAAGGGCAATTTCCCGGAGTAGATGAGGTGTCTACCTATGGGATCCCACACACGGGAGAATTACAGTTATCAGATGGCTCCATTGTATGCCCCCCAGGGAGTTGTATAGCTTCAGTGGCATCCTCCAGGAAGCCAGCCATGCCTCAAAGATCCTGGATTCTGTTTCCCATAGGTAATCCTTAGCCAGGGACATTCTGTTAAGAGCAGTTCAGAGATAAGGTATCTTCTGCCTAGCAAGAACGATAATCTCCTTACCTAGAGTCTCCTGCTCTCTTTTCTTCACCACCCCGGAAATGCAGGCTTCCAAAGGAAGTGAGTGGATTGCTGGCCACGTCTTTCCTTCCACTGAGTTGTCCTCATTCCTGATCCCTACAGGAGATAGAGGCAAACTTCTATATTGTGAAGTTTTTCTGAAAGTATAGGCCACCCTGATGATTCATGAAAATGAAGCTTTCTAATTAAAATTTAGTCAGCAAATCTAGAACATGTGGGTGGCTTTTGCTTTTCTGTTCTGCTTGCACACTGTTGACGTGCACAGCCCCCCAGAGTCCTAACTGGGAGGGTGGAAAAAGATCACTTTAAATCTGTGATATCCGGGGAGGAAAAAAAATGTATCTTCCCTGACACACTCCAGAGATTCTGATATGTGTGTATATTTGGGTCAAATAATTGAGAACCCTGATAATTGGATTAAAAATGCTCATTTAGTGAAATTTTCTTTTTAAGGACACTTTGAGATAGGAATTTTCTTTAAGCTACAAATATGTAAGTGGCTGTCTTGGTACTATGTATCCAAAGTAGTCCATACTATAGATATAAACTATGTCCACATTACCTAATTTAAATTTACCCACTATTCTCATGTTCACATCGAGATGCACAAATAGGCTGTTCCTAAACCTTTGACTAAACAATAATAATAATAATATTGCAATAATAATGACTTCACCCTTTGTAGCATGGTTTAGAGTTAACAAAGCGCTTTCACATTTGTTGTCTCTGCCGTTTCAGAGGGTCACACACATATCCTTCAAAGCCCGATTTGAACCAGGAAAGGGCCAAGTTAAGAACCCCTAACTTAAACAGAAACTTAATTCTAGGCTGCACAGGACCAGGCCAAGAGTGTATGACCACAATCCCTTTTGTGTGCATTTGCAAAGTAAGAAAAATTGGCATCATGACTAAGGACTGCATGAGCCAAGTTCTCTGCCTAGAGCCCAGTTGTGAGGAGACAAGAAGTATAGGAACGAAGTCTGGGGGTTCTTTTCCTACCTTTCATTTAAAAAATGGAAACTTCTGATCGGTTGTAGTACACAAAATGATGCCTATGCCAATGAGAAGGACATTCATGTGAGTTTGATAGTAGCATATCCAAGAGGGAACTTGATGGAAATGCCTTTTAATTGTATAGCAGGAGTAGAGAAAAAAAAAATTTGAGTCACAAGGATATACACAAGGGCATTTACAAGTACTTATTACTTAGTTTTTTATTTTAAAGTACGAGGAATATACAATCTGGAAAGAAAACAAAATTCAGTAAGTACAAGTAATGTTGGGTATATTGCATTTCTGTCATGGCTGGCTGAGAAAGAAAAGGGGAAAATGAAAAAGGAAGAGAGATAATAGGAAAAAAGAGAAAGATATGAGGGGAGTAGAATACAGAAACAGAGAAGATGAAAAAGATACTCGAGAGAGAAATCGCAGGATTACAGAAAAAGAACTGGAGAATTAATGGAGGGAGGGAAGTCGGAGTAAGCTCTGACTGAATACTGAAAAATGCTTTACTCTGGTCACACCCTGTTGCTAGTTGACCCTGTTAAGCATTGTTTATTTAAGGCCCGGTCTCTAAAATGCTAACTCCTCCTGTGTTTTTAACCTGGACTTCGTAGGGAGCAGCTACAGACCCCTGCTGGCCACGTGATGCATCTGAGGCATCCGACTTCCTAGGATTTCAGCCCAGATGAGCACTGGATGTTGTTGGAAACCAACTTGACAATAAACTATTTATTAAAAAGAAAACAACTTATCAGAAACTACAATGGATCATTTTTATTTCTTCATGTTGACATATATTCTACATGGCTGGCTTACCTCTTTGACATTTTTTTCATTATAGTCCAATGACGTTTATGACTCATCAATTAATTAATTCTTAAAAAAGAATAAAAAATTTATATTTTGAAGCCCCCCCCCAAAATTTAACTATTTTCCATTACAAATGGCTATTATGGATGGTTGCCTGAAAAGAATAAGAAAAAATAAAGAATTTAAACATCACTGTTAGTATAATAAATGCGATCTATTTAGTAAATAAAATTATGTTAATGATGAAAAGAAATCTGAAATAAAGTAATTATCAAAAGCCCCCCCCCAAAAAAAGTACAACATCATTGTGTCATTAGGGAAATGCAAATTAAAGCAAGGAAATACTACTACAAGTTATAACACTATATTTAAATGAGTTAAGTACCAAATATCTGAAAATACTAATTATTGGCAAAGATGTGGAGCAATAGAAACACTCATTTCTGGAAGAGCTGTAAAATGGTACAGTTATTTTGGAAGACAGTTTGGCAGTTTTGTTTTGTTTTTACAAAGTGTTTTACCATACAATCCAGTAATAAAACTCCTAGATATTTAAAAAAAAAAAAAAGAGTTGCCCCAGCTAAAACTTGATTATGTTGCAAAAAGAAATCGCCCTCCATAAGGAGGTTCTTTCCTCTTGTTTGTCCTTCCAGCTAAATGGGAATAAGGTAGAGAGCCAGCCTCTGCTGGCAGATAAAAGGCTCCCACCCCTTCAGTTAGAATCCGCGGTGTACCTCTGAGCACCGTTCACTTCCTAGCAATCCACTTAACTAAGTACAATTAACTGAGCGTTGGAGACTTGCTTTTTCTCCCCGCCATGTTTTCAGCTTGAATTTTTAGTTTGCGGAGCCATTTCACTTATGAACGTTGTGAAATTCTTTTGGCTTGGTTATCTTAGGAAGTATAGAACATGTTAAATTTCTTCGTGAAGCTTATTAACGTATGGGTCTACCAACTTTTTACATTATTAAGCCTCACATCCCACCAGTCTTGTCTACTCCAAGGAACAGTATCTGCAGGCAGCGAATAGGAAGGTGGGAATTACAAACTAGGGACACTCTGCATTAAGTTTTAAAAATGAAAAATTGTTGTTACAGTTTTAGATTTCTTTTGTTTTTCCTACAGTCACTACATGAGACAGATACTGGAAGCTCTACGCTATTGTCATGATAATAACATAATTCACAGGGATGTGAAGGTAAGTCCTTTTTATCACTATAATGTGCACAAAGAGTAACTGGTAACAGTGATAACAATCAGAAAATTCTCTTTAATATTCTTATGGAGAGCATCTTAAAGTTAATTTTACTTACAAATAAAAATCTGTTTAACTGCTTTATATTTGAAGAGTCCTACTCATTCTTAACAGGAACACTTTTATCATTTCAGTTTCTTCTTGTTAAAATGTACACGTATTCCAAAAGTTTATTAATCCTCTTTCACTATTATGTGCGAAAGAGAGAAATAAAAAACTCAACAAATAGGAAGAACCAAACACTATCCTATCCTAAAGTTAATGGGGGCGGGGGCCGCACAGGCGGGGGTTTGGGATTGGGTTTATATAGTAAAAGTTCATCATATTCTTATGCTTTTGTAGTTTTTCAGTATAGAATAGTCACCATTTTTTGCAGTTTTTAACATAGTCTGAAATCATAATTATAAGTGTAATATGGCTTTGCACCCTTAGGAATGTGCATATTACCATCATTCAGTCTTTCTGCCTGTTTGATCCCAGTATCAAGTTCATGACAACTGTCAGTCGCTGGCTCCTAACGGTGTCAGGCAGAACATGAGGGCATGCCAGAAAGGAAACTAGAGCACCTCCCTCCTGATGCCCAGCCCCTTCCACGGCCTCGAATCACTAAGAGCCCCTGAGGTCTCTCTGGCCCTGTTTGTCCACTTTCTCGCTCTGGTATTTTTTTACTGGCCTCTCTCTAACCCACAGCATCCACAGACATGGTGCTCTCCTTCCCTCAAAAGATACTATCAAAGGACTGGCTTCTTCAATGTATTTTAATGGTTAAGAAATTAAGTAGAGTTTAGTTAAGTTTTCTATAATGTTTGAGAAATTTTAACTGAAAATTCTCGTGGTTTGAAGCTGAGGTAAAGTATGAGCCACTCCAAGACGGTCCAGTGGAATGTCACCATAGCAAATGAAAAAACTCACTGGAGAAATGCACAACACACACATTACTTGCAAAATATCTTACTCTTTTCAAATGTGGTGATAGGAGAATGGGATTGTTATTCTCAGTACTCAACACTAAACAACCTGATGGATACATAGCACTTTTATAAAAGTATTTTTCAGTTATGCAAGCAAATCAGAAATCTAAAAAATAAAAGGGGGGAATTGCCAATGATAGTAGCAGGTTGTGTTACTCTTCTATCTAATTAACGTAAGAAAATGCATACATAGTAAAATATAATTCCTTGTATAATAAAATGGATGATAAAAATGACGTTTGAAAAAGCTAAAATGGGTAAGCTGATTCTTAGTTCACGTAATAGCACTACGTTAAAAACACTTTCGCTCAAGAGGCAATTTTATTTTGAATTCTGTTCTTGAAAGGTAATTATAGCAACATCATATAATAAATAATGATTGGCAACGTACTGTACTGTAACACTTTCAATAATATAGTCAGCTTTTGATTAGTCATGGTATTTGATATGACGATCCAAAAACCAAATAAAATCCCCAAGTAGTTATATTTGAATATTGTACTTCAGCTTCTCATTTACCTTCTGATTGATTGATTCAGCAAATATTCATGCGCCTACTTCATGCAGAATACCGTGCTCAGAGCCCTGAAGTTACCATCATGGTCTCCGCAGGGAGATGAGGCAGTGCATCTATTACCGACTGCCACAGAGCGACACAACAAAACTTCAGACAGCAACCACTATTTATTTGCTCACGATTCTGCAGTTTAGGCAGAGCTTGATGGAGGCTGCTCAATTCTGTTTCACAGACTCTTGGCTGAGGCAGCATGGCTGGTACCCCTGAAGGCCTCACTCTTGTGGCATGGCAGCTAAAATACAACTAGAACAGCTGGGGACTTGAAGGGCCTTCTTCTAGTCTCTCATTCAGAGTATTTCTTCCTCCTGCTCTCCCTCCATCTTCTCCTCTATCTCTCTTTCTTCCTGTGGCCCTCTCTCCAGCACGACAGTATCTCAGGGCTCCAAAGAAGCAAAGACGGAAGCTGTCAGGCCTCCTGAAGCCTAGGCCTGAAATCGACGCTGCATCATGTTCTCTGCATTATGTTAGTCAGTAGGGTACAAGACTAGCCTGGATTCGAGAGGAGGAAACATAGATTGCACCTTCTGGTTGGAGGAGCGACATATGTGCACAGGGCTAGGAGAAATTGTTTGTAGCCATCTTTATAGACAGGGAAAACAATTATTGTCCAAGATAGAGGGTGGGAAGTATCATTAAAAGATGGAGTCAGAGAAACTTCATGGAGGAGGTCACGTTTGAGTCTGGCCTTGAGTCATGAGGCAGTTACATGGAGACAAGCGGGCATTTCAAGCAAAAGGAGCTATGTGTGCAAAGGCTCAAGATTAGTTTTGCATTGGATTTTATTAGTTTATTATCCCTAAGGCATATGCCAGATAGTTTTGAGGAAGCACCCAGAAAGGTGCTGAGGAAGGGGAGACAGAAGTAATTCTCAAAGTGCAAGTGAGGAGAAACCACCAGAAAAGGTACCATTGTTCAGTTGGCAAGTGGACTCAACATAGAGCACACGTTAATGTTGATAGTCTTTATATTGCAGGACCTGAAATCTATACATTTTGTATGGGTAAATGGAATGCCCACATTTAGCTAATTAGTAATGTTGAATATGGGTAGATTTTTCTTAAGACCTTCATCCCAAAATATACACGGAGTGCTTATTGTGTGTCAGACACTATTCTAGGAACCGGAGCTATTCCAGTGAACAAAACTGCTCCCTAAACGGGTTGCAGTTTTAAACAGGGTGGTCAGAACAGGCCACATTGAGAAGATGACATGTGAGCAAGGAGTCACAGGAGGAGAGAGGTGAGCTGGCTGATATCTAAAGGAAGAGCATTTTGGGTAAAAGGGACAGCCAGCGCAAAAGCCTAAAGCAGGAACATAATGGGCCTATTTGCAAAATAGCAAGGAGGCCAGTGTGGCTAGGGCAAAATGAGCCATGAGGAGAGTGGCGAGTAGATAAAGTTAGAGAGGGAAGGAGGGGAGGAGCTTTGACTCTCACTCGGAGAGCAATGAGGATTCACCAGAGAGTTTGGAATAGCCTGATCTGACTTTCCATGGTAACAGCACTACATGGCTTTGTTGGTAATGCCTTGAACAGGGGCTCTTGGGCAGAAGCAGGGAAACAGGACATAGTCTTGAGAGTGGTAGCAATGGAGGGGGTGAAAACATAGACTCCATATATATTTTGAAGGTTGTATCGACAGGATTTGCTAATATAACTTCAGCAACTCCAGTAACTCAAAGTAGTTTTATTCAGGACCTTATTATATGAGTTTTCCAACGTAGTAGTCATTAGGAAACTTTAATAACGGTACATGGCACACAGCTAATAATTCCAAATTTCAATTTGATGTATTAATATGTTTGTTAATAAAGCAGCCCGTTAGCTTTTCTTCACATTCAGATAGCCTATGTTCAGTAACTGGCCTATGTGTAGATTTCATTTGTCTATAGATTTCAGTTTCTATAGTTAGTTTTTATCAAAGTTTTCTTCCCGTCTACTTACTAAAGAAAATATAAAAGCATTGCGATGTTTTATTCCTTTTAGAAGAATTTAGATTACTTAATCATCTGTTTCACTTAGCCAAGAATATTCTCAGATTCTCTCCCTTTCCTTCTCTCTCATAATTCTTGGCATTGATCCCAAAGCATTAAGTTTTTCCAAAGGTCCTAGCACTATATTGATTAGTAATACTCTTTTCTAACCTTGATAGGCATCTCTTTGTGAAATCATTGTAATTGAGTCTAAAAATGTTTCATTCATATCAAAGTTAGATTTGACTATATGGTACCTCGTGACCTGTAGAGGGAACTTGCTTTAGAGAAGCAGTTTCAAATGAAATTGCATAAAAAAAAATTGTGTAATCCCTTGAAATTCAGGGAAGCATATCATCATAGTACAGGTTTCTCCCACCAGCCACACTAGTGACATTTGGGGCCCTGTATCTTGTGGGAAGCTGCCCTGTGTAGCATGGCCTCTACCTATCCTCTGCTCATTGCATGCCAATAGCATTTCTGCAAGCTGTGACAATCAAAAATGTCTCCAAACATTGCTAAATATCCTCTGGGGCACACAGATCGCCCATGCTAAAGACCCACTGTATAATACTACACTGCTCCTGCTTTACCTCCCCACAAGCATCATTTAAGGCATGCATGCTCATTTCTTTTTTGGGTGGTTGTTGTTTTTTTGTTTTGTTTTGTTTTTTTTCGGTTTTTCTGACCTCTTCCCTTTTACTCCTCTTTTTCTTGTGAGAGGATGTGAAAACTTTCATTATGTTTCATTTCTTTCTCTTTTCTTCCTCTCGCCCCTAAATTAAAAGAGCTCTAAGAAGAAACAGTACAGTTGGCAAGGTAAGTGCACATCCGGGCCCCTTGCCTGCCTTCATTGGCCCTATTAAGCATTAAGAGTCCGTGGGTCTTTATTATCTCTCCTAACTCCTGAGGCAGCCATATATGGCATCATGTGGGCGTGGAGGGACAAAGCTTAGACTTCTCTGTGGCTCTGACCTACCAACATACAATTTTAATAACCGAAGTTACACCGCTTCTCAAAATGCAAATGGCCGTACACACAGTCACTTTCTATTCTGAATGGGGCCTGTGCCCTGGAGGTTTGGGGGCTCAGTGTTTAGTTCTCAGAAGTGTGCAAAACCCCATAAGCAGACAGTCCTAGACACTCAGCCAGAAGCCTCCACCCAAGCGTTTCTGCATGAGCTTCCTTGAAATGGTTTTCCTCCTAACTGGTGAACACGCCTGGCTGCTCTCTGGTCCCCTTCTGTTCTCAGTTCCCCTTTCACCTGCGTAGGGCCAGACTTTATAAACAGGTGTTCATCACATCACACTAGTTCCCATGGCATCATGGAGTTCATACAGTATTTCTTCCTCTGTTGCTTTTGGTTGCTGACACTTCTTCCATGTCTCTTACTCCAACTCATGTAGGAGAAAGAAATTGAAATTCTCATTTAAACGAGAACACGTTTATTTTAATGTCTATTATAAGAAGCACACTGATTCTTCTTCTGCATGTCTTTTGTGAGGTTGTTGAACATAATGGACATGTTCAGCTTGAATGTGGGGTTTTAATAATTGTACTTAGGAAAATCCCATGAATTATAAGATCATCTTAAATTTATCTTCTGTTTCTAATTGCTCTGCTTCCCTTTTCCCACTCTACCGTTCAAAAAAAAAAATCAACTCCAACTCCTTGATTTAGAAAGAAAAGAACGAGAGGCACCCAGCTGGCTCAGCTCAGTCGGTAGAGCATGCAACTCTTGATGTTGGGATTGTGAGTGCAAGCCCCATGTTGGAAGCAGAACTTACTTTAAAAAAAAAAAAAGAAGAAAAAAGATAAAAAGGAAAAGAATGACTGTTTCTCTTGCTTATTAGATGTGAATTCTTCCACTGCTCCTCTCCTTCTGAGCCAGGCCAGCAAGCACGTATGATGTGGCCAAAGCATTTTTTTTCTGTCCGGTACCACACCTTTCTAGCTGTAGTAATTTTTTTCACTAATATCAATTTAATTTGAATTTGGGGGCAGTCAGAGGAAGGTCCATGGTTGAAATGCTTACCAGATTACCAGCGGCCCTTGGTGCTGCCTTTGTGGTTTGCCACAGCCAGATTTCCTTTCAGCTGGTCTTCCCACGTTCGTCTCTACCATCCCCCACCCTGCAGACTGAAAGACCAAGGACAGGCTACGAAGAGTCCTTACCAAATACGCGAGACTGACACCTTCCTCTTCTACCCAGGAAGTAGAAATTCTTCCCGGTTGAGTAGTCTGTCCTTAAGTTTGCTTGTCTAGTCTTATTGGTTTGTGTTCCCAATTAATAGTTTGAAAGCTGCCTCAATGAAAGTGAGTATATGGAACGGATAAAAGGGAGAATAAACACTTGTCAATCCTGTTTTCTATAAAGTATACTCTCACTGGCCAAGAAGTCAAAATTTAGGGCTTCTGAAATTGTGTTCGACTAACTCACACATGAGAAACGTTGTTTTTCTCAAACCAGTGGTTTCCAGATGGGAGGGGAGCGAGGAGGTGGGCGAAATAGGTGAAGGGGGTTAAGAAGTACAATCTTTCAGTTATAAAATAAATTAGTCATGGAGATGAAAAGTACAACATAGGGAATATAGTCAATAACATTGTAATAACATTGTATGGGAACAGATGGTAGCTATACTTATCATGATGAGCATTGAGTGATGTATAGGATCGTCAGATCACTATGCTGTGCACCTGAAACTAATATAACATAACATATAACATGATATTATCTGTCAGCTATAATAATAAAAACTTTGGAGGCACTGTTTTTCTGAAATCTACAGTTTAAAGTTAGAGTAATTTAGAAAGTAGTATTTCATATAAAATATTAACCATGACATTGAATAGCCAGCTTGCCAATTACACAAAAAACTCAACATGATGTACAATTACCTGTTCAGGAAAGTATCTGTGGTATTGAAGATAAACATGGTGATAATAAGGTCAGTACAGAGAAATAAAATGGGAGTTTTTTTTTTTTTTTAAATGTTTATTTTTGAAGGAGAGAAAGACAGAGCACAAGCAGGGGAGGGGCAGAGAGAGAGGGAGACACAGAATCTGAAGCAGGCTCCACGCTCTGAGCTGTCAGCACAGAGCACAACATGGGGCTCAAACTCACAAGCCGTGAGATCATGACCTGAGCCAGAGTTGGACGCTCAACCAACTGAGCCACCCAGGTGCCCCTAAAATGGGAGTTTCCTATCAGAATGAGTAACTTAAGGAGAAATTACACACCTCTTTTCCTGCCTTTTTTAAATGTAGGAAACTCTACCTTGGTAATACATTTTTTATTTTACTTAGAGTTATGGCAAGATAAAGTGATGTTTTTAATAATGATTTTTAGAGGAGATACATTCATATATATATATATATATATTTTTTTTAACTAACTACAGTGAGTTTTAATGCTGTATCACTTATGTAAAAACGAAAGTAGTGAACAGACACCTCTGTTTACAGCCAGCACTTAGGGAAATCGCCTGGAGTTCCCAGGTCTGCCTTTGTCTCTGTAAATTAATCACCGGAAATTAGATTGCTGCTGTAAAAGAATAGATGTACACTATAAATATTTGAAGCCAGCGTGCGTTTACTTCAGACCTTTTTCTGAACATTTTCTTCTCTCAGTTAAGCATTGAACTAAAAAAGAGAGGAAATATTTACTGTTTGTTTTCGATTCTTTTTTAATGAAAATTATGCAGATGTGCTAGAAAAACCACTAGAGACTTTGAACACATGACTCTTGGGGAATCTGTACAGTGTACTGTTTGTACATTTTTAATTCTGAAACAAAAACATGCTACGAGATTAAAGGCTTGGAAGTGCTACGTGAACTTACTTTAAACTTCTTTTTGAGCACTGAAGAAATCACTGCATAGAGAATAAATGGGTCTTTAAGCAGTCTCTAACGAAGTAACCGGTTACCATGAACATTTATTCTACCTCAGTTTAATTTAACTTTTTGTCTGGTTTTTATGTGAACAGAGAATGCAAGTACCGTGGGAGTAGAAAGAGAAAGCAGGCTACAGCTCGAAAGGCACTCACGATCTTTTGGGGAAACTAAAACACATTTAAAAAAAATTGTTTTCTCATATAGCACAGAATATAGTCACCATTATTTTTACATGGAAGAAAGAAATGACTGAGAAATGCTTACGGTTTGAGTATTTATTTAGATATTGGAGAAATTTGGGGTGACTTATCTATGTACTTCCATTTTTTCATCAGCAAATTGGCATCCTTTATGGTGGTAACCATTAAAATACATGCAAAACATAGAGGCAGAGTGCCTGGCACATAGCAAATGCTTAGTAAAGGACAGCTCCTCATAATAGTAACATCATCTGATTTAATAATAGTACCTCTGAATTACATAGTATTTTTCCATTCTACAAATGAAGAACTTAATACTTTAAGAGGGCAAGTAAGTTGCTGAAGACTGTCTGACTAAATAAGAGAAAAGATTCAGCTAGGATCAAACCCAGGGGCTCTTAACTCCAGAGACCAATCTCTCAACAACAATACTATTATACTGCTCTTATTCATTCATTTATTTTCACAAAAATTGATCGTACATAACTACATGCCAGGTACTATTTGTTATCAATCACATTATTTCTATTGAATACAGAGGAGAATTTATAAGATGTGATGACGATCAGCATATAATGACATTGTATTAGCTCTTTATTTCGACCAAGCCTAACCCAAATATTTAAGCATATTTACAAAATCACTGGCTTGATAAATATTGGAATCAATGATTATTGGTTTTCATAGTAACATGAGCAGACAGTACAAAATAGTGCATTTATAAAGCCTTGGATTTTTACAATGTTTTTCATACATCTAGATAGGACTTCAGTGAGGACATTTCTGATTGCCCTTTTTTTTTTTTTTTAACTCATTTTTAAAGTTACCAACAAAACACTAAGCCTAGATGGGCCCTAATATTGCCACTACTAGAAAGCAGAGAAAGTCATAAACCATTTGCTGCTTTATCCTACAGTCATGAAATGTTGTGTTCTAAATAAAAGCATACACAGTTGAGCTTAAAGAGAAAATGGTCTATTGTTTTCAGATGCACTGAGATCCTTTTAACATGCTTGACTTTTGCCTCTGAAAGTCTCTGCCATCTCAACTTGCAATATTAGTAGAGCTGGAAAGTGAATTTTATGGTTATTTCTAAAACCAAAGAGGGTTTCTTAGTGCCTGCTATCAGTCAAGCTGTGACCTGTTAATCATGTAGTCAAGTATCCCTAATCGCCATATAAACAGTCTCCTATTTGCTGGTGTTTTCTAGTCAGAAGTCAACCATAGGGTTGTAGATGTGGTGAATCAGATTTTGTAAAGAGATTATATAGTGTCTTTTTGAACGTTTTATCTAAAAAAAGAAATATAATGGGGTCTGTGCTGCTTCTGGCTGATGCGAGACAGGTGAGGATATTTTTTATTTCGATTAAATAATTCAGTTGCTGACAGTTCCCTCTCTGGTGCAGAACATAAAAAATGGGTTTAAAAATGCTATATGGAAGGAAGCAAACTATTAGTAGAACCTGGATGACCAAAAGATGCCTTTTCACAGAACTGTAAGTCAAATCTTTCTCCATAATGGACGTGCAGGTCCTTACTTTTTTCAGATGGCTGACAAAAGAGTAGTATGATGTTAGTACGACTAAAAATGAAAATCCAATAAATGTGGTTCCAATGAGGCCTGCGGTCTGAGAGATCATGGCTCCTAGTTCTGTCTGCCGATTATAGCACACGTTCTCTTCTCCTTTTGTAGTCTCTACAACTGAGTAGTATATGATAACTGGAATAATTACGCCGAGTACAACTCCCCATATGTAAACACACAGTTTTCTAGCAAAGTTGGGCTGGCGAAATTTTTTCAGTAAATGGCCATAAAATACTTTCTCATAGCATGAAGTGGTCTCTTGAACTGAATCCTTTTTCATTAAGGTAGCATAGCGGCTTATGGCAATCCAACTTAAAATTAAGAGGCTGACAAACATACTTACGTGCATGGATAGAGTTCCCAAAAAATTGACCAGAGTGCATCGTGCAGATCGATACTCCCATTGAAAACCTTTCAGGAAATAGATACCTATGAAAGGCATGGCACTGCACACAAGTAAGTTTGCAGTCACAAGATGTGCTAGGTAGATGTGCGTCGATGTCTTCTTGCCTATTTTTGTTAATACCCATTGAGAGAGAGAATTTCCAAAGAGACCAATGATGCAGAGGAAGGTATAAATGATTGGTAAAGCCATGGAAGAGATCCTGGATGGTTGAATACATGTTGAGTTGTTACTCATTTATAGCAAGTTTTCTTGAATTTTGTCTCAGGAGCTAGAACAGAATTGCAGATATTTAATATCAAAATGATAGATGGTATTTAAATGAATAGTTTTTCAAAAGCATTGGATGAAGTAAAATAGTAATGTAAATGTACTGGATGGAAAGGGAAAGTACAGAGGCTTTCTCACCTTTTCTAATCACAGTTGTCCAGGGGAAATAAAAGACGTGATTGTGGATGGTGCCTTGGTCTAAAAGACAAAATTTGATACAAATAGTTAAATGCCTGAGATTTGTCATTCTTTGGGTTTTGCCTAGAAAGGTAATTGAAATATTTTAAGGCACATGCAAGTACTACATACTGGCCAAAGGAAAGTTGCAAAAATATTTTGTGGCCACATTAATAGAAGACTGATTTTTAATTATCACCTTAATTCTACATAAATTGTACATGCTTTTCAAAATGGTGTCTTTTCGTGGCTAGGTTAAAGCACCTATTGGAATCCTCTCTTTTCGTATTTCACAAGTAAACTTGCATGGGGGACGGACTAAATGGGCGATGGGTATTTGTTTCAAGTTTATTATTTTTTGAGAGAGAGAGGACAAGCATGAGTGAGGTGGGGGGGGGAGCAGAGAGAGAGGGAGAAAGAGGATCCCATGTGGGCCCCACACTGTCAGTACGGAGCTTGATGCGGGTGGGGCTCAAATTCACGAACTGCGAGATCATGACCCAAGCCAAAATCAAGAGTCAGACACTTACCTGTCTGAGCCACCCAGGCGCCCCAGAGTGATGGGTATTAAGGAGGGCATTTGTTATGATGAGCATTGGGTGTTGTATGTAAGTGATAAATGACTGAGTTCTACTCCTGAAATCAATATTGCACTAACGTTAACTAACTAGCATTTAAATAAAAATTTGGAAGTAAAAAAAAAAGTAGTAAACTTAATTCTACACAAATACTCAGACAAGATCCTGGATCAAACAGAAGGCAGGTATAGTGACCAAGGATAGACACCAAAATCTCAGGGTCTTTACCAAAAAGGCATTGGTAATTTCTTATTTTAAATATTTAATGCTAAACTACCATACTGCAATTTTTTTTAACTGTAAAATTCTTTGTCAAAACTGTAGTTGCTATGTTTGTTGGTTAGAGTGCCCTCATGTGTCTTTGTGTATAATTTAGTACCTTGGTTTTTCAAAAAATATGATTGTTTAGAAGATATTTTAATCATAGCATAAATGCAGGCATGGTTTTTGCTTCTTTATGTCTTGTTTTTATTTTTTTTAAGTTTGTTTATTGTTACTAACCTCTACACCCAACGTGGGGCTCAAACTCATGACCCTGAGATCAAGAGTCACACGCTCTTCTAACTGAGCCAGCTAGGGGCCCCTGTGTCGTATTTTTAAATCTTTCTTGCATCAAATCATGCACACGAAGTGTTGAAGAGTCACATACAAACTGTTTTTCATTATTATTTTCATCCTTTATTCCTTTCAGGTGGGAATAACAAGTTACTGGATTTTGGTCAAATAAGAATCATAAGCTCTATTAAGAATGTGCCACATTTCTGCTTTTATCACCATAGCTTTCTAGGTACTACATTCTCTTTTATAAAAAATCTGGAATGGAGATTCTCAGTCTTTTTTTAAATTACATCCTGTCTTTTGATAAACACAAAAATGTTCCCATGCATCTGTCTTCTAAGATGCCATGCACCGCCTTCTTATATGCCTGCAGCCCCTCAGAGCTGTTTCACTCTCTACCCCATCTTTAGAGTCACACTTTTTAATATTTGCATCTTGGATTACAGAAATAGGAAAGGAAGGGCACCTGGGGGCCTGGTTGGTGGAGCTTGCAACTCTTGATCCTTGGGACTGTTGAGTTCGAGCTCCACATTGGGTATAGAGATTGCTTACAAATAAAATCTTTAAAAAAAATAGGTTTTCTTCCAAGTATGTTGTTATAATTTTTAAATAGTTTTTTCAACCATGCAATCCCCACACATAGGCTTGAAAGCTTGAGGGCTGTACAGTGTCTCTAGGTTCAATACTGAGACCCTTAATATCTACCGCTGTCTATAATTTTATTTCTCTGTGATTTTTATTGAGAAAACAGTCCATATGGTTCAGTGTGAGTTTATATCTGAGTCCAGGGCAGCCTAGCAAGTTAGAATAGGGTTGCAAGGGCACCTGGGTGGCTCAGTTGATTTAACTTCTGAGTTCGGCTCAGGTCATGATCTCATGGTTCGTGGGGCTTTGATCTCATGGTTCGTGGGTTCGAGCCCCGCATTGGGCACTATGCTAACAGCTCAGAGCCTGGAGCCTGCTTCCTATTCTGTGTGTGTATATTTCTCTCTCAGCCTCTCCCCTGTTTGTGCTCTCTCTTCCTTTCTCTGTCTCTGTCTTTGTCTCTCTCCCCCCCTTCTCCCTCCCTCCCTCCCTGCCTCCCTCCCTCCCTCTCTCTCTCTCTCTCTCAAAAGTAAATATTTTTTAAAAAAGAATCTGGTTACAGTTAGTGTATTACCAATTGTAAATATGTAAAGCCTAACCTGATTTAAAAATCAGTCAAATAGAAAGTGAAATAAGCCGGTTTATTTCCTAAGAAAAGCTTAATAGATCCAAGTAGATTTTTATGTGAGAAATGGAGCTTCCTTTTCTGATGATATTAAAGAAGAACCCCACCCCCCAGCCATGTGTAGATAATGCATTATATATTAAAATCCAAAAAGGTAATAGTGCTTCTGTATTCACAGATAATATTCCCCTTTTTTCAAACTAGACCACCTCATATGACATCTGCTATCCCTTATGACTGTTGCCTTGCTTTTCTATTTCACACATAGCAAACACTTCCAAACAGAAAGGAGGTAAAAAGACCGTAATGATCAGTTTTCAAAATGTAAGCATTTTAGTCCTGTTAGAGTTTTTATAGAGTTAACTTTTAATCTAGAACTTAAGTGATCAGTCTTACCTGTACGAGTCGTTTACACCAGCGAAGGCTCTGCTGTTCAGGGCAGGGAAGCTAAATTCCAGACTGAAGATTCTCAGACCATCCGGTATCTTTCGAAGTCTAGTCTGTGTGAATAGATTCTTGCCTGACATGTACTACAGTAGGGGGAAAAAAGGAAATTAAACAGTATTGAAGAAATTCAATACTTATGGTAAATGTAGCAAACTACCTCGCAAAAAAACCTCATTTCTCTATTTCTGTAGTGGGAGGAAGTTTGGTGGACAATATATATATTGTACTTCCTTATGATTATTTCATGAACCAGTTTTACCTCAAGTAGCTTTATTAGCATGCTTGGCTGATGTTAATTAAGTTCAAAAGTTTAGTCCCCTGTAGCTAGTTTTATACATCACAGTGGTAGAAGGAACTGCTTCATAATAACCCAAGAAAATACTGGTACAAACCTGTCTGTAAAATCTGCAGATGGTTTATTTGCAATTTATCTTTACCAAGAATAAAGGGCAAGAAAACCCAGAGTTTTCTTACCCATGGCATGTTACTAGAATCAAATATCATAGACCCAGAACAGAACTTCATGATCATCTTGGGTAGAAAGCCTTTGTTTTGAGGTATGGAGCAGCACATTGTGAGTACAGACTGCACCCAGGGGTTTGGGTCCCAACTTGGTTACCAAGTGAACCTCTCCATTCTACTTCGAATTGCCCCGTGTGGTCCTCCATTCAGATTCAAAGTCATGTACATTGTTTGGAGCATTTCCTAATGGATTTGGAGAATCCTGGAAAGTGCCAGAGTCCGAAGACCAAATATTCCTTGGATAAAATGGGTAGTTCTATTATGATATATAAAGAATGGTGAAACCAGTTTTATAAAGAAGATCGTTTAATGAGTCTGTGAACTAGTAACTAAATGCAAGCTAAGTGCGCACCAGACTTGCGTCACACACTACCCTTCCTTGTGTCAGTGAAACCACTGGGAGTCTGAGAATGGGAACAGAAATGTAATTTCATCAAGCCTGAGCACTTCAGCTATCAGTAAATCTTCATTCAGAATTAATAGAAGTACCTTGCCATTTCTCATAACCCCGAACGCGTATCTTATTTCATGTTGATTGCACAAATCCCTCCTAATCTTTGTTAATTGTGCTCTCTAAAACAAAAGTGCGAACTACCTGAGTTGATTTTATCCTGCTACTGTTCATCTTTGTAATGCTTGCCCTCACTTCATTAAGAACAGTGACTCGGGGCACCTGGGTGGCTCAGTCAGTTAAGCGTCCGACTTCGGCTCAGGTCATGATCTCATGGTTCATGGGTTCGAACCCCAAGTCAGGCTCTGTGCTGACAGCTAGATCAGAGCCTGGAGCCTGCTTCGGATTCTGTGTCTCCCTCTCTCTCTGACCCTCCCCTGCTCATGCTGTCTCTCTCTCTCTCTCTCTCAGAAATAAAAACATTAAAAAAAAAAAAAAACAGTGACTCATCCAGGGTTATATTGCCATTGAGTGCTGTGTAATTTAGCCTCTGGAATTCCTATCATTTTTACTTCAACAACTTTTCATGTTCCAGGAAGGAATTACTTAGAACAACAACAACAAAAAGTTTGAAGTAATTTAGAGAAGAAAGAATGGAAATGGAATGCTGTGTTTATAAGTAATTGAGAGATATTTTTAAAATATTACCACTTTGAGGCTTAAGCACCTTTAGTCAAAAAAAAAAAAAAAAAGAATATCCTTGCTCTCCAGCTTTTCCTCCATTGTCCCCCAAACTCAGTAAATGATACCATCACCTCCTCAGTTATTCAAGTCAAAAACCTAGGAATCATCCTTGATTCCCTCTCTTTCCTTCACATCTCCTATCCAGTCAATTCCTACAGCTTCCACTACCACCACTGGTATTAGGCACATTGCATTAAAGCTTATTATGTGCCAGGCATCCTGGTCTATGTTTTACATATCATATTTAATCTTTGCAGTATCCTATGAAATATGTTCAATTTAAAGGTGAGGAAAACAACGTCAGAAAGGTCACTAATTTGCATGATATCACACAGCCATCTGTCGTCACTACTTGGTGGCTGGCTTACACACACACCCAGCAAGTGATTGGAGAAAACAAGACCATAGGTGCAATGTCTTTTTTTTATTAATCTACCTCTGAACTCAACATTGTCACTTCTGCAGTATTATGTTGGTCACACAGCCAGCAGTGATTCAGTGTGTAGAGGTAATTAGCAGGAGGTGATGATTGTTGGGAGCCATCTTGGAAGCTGGCTACCACAGGATGTCAGTCAACCATTGGACCAAGGAAGAGTCAACTTTTTAAAATAATTGTCAGGCAACTGGTCATTTATTGAGCAAGAATGCCTGGATGGATGTATGTTTTGCCATTTCTTCCTGTCTTGATTTTTAGTGCTCTGTATTAAACAGTGCAGTTCATTTACTGAATATTTATTGGAGCTCCTACTATGTTTCTAGTGATGTGTGGAAGTCATAGAAGTATATTAGCCACAAGCTAACAGAGGGTCTCTGGAAATTCAAGAGTGGTTGAACAAGCAAGCCAAGAATTCAGATTAATATGTGATATGTGATACAGACTTTAAGTGCTCTAAAATCAGAAAAAGGAGAAAACAGTGAATCCTGATGGTTCTGAAAAGCCAAAGGAACTAGAAGGAAAGAGAACACGTGCTAAGCAACAATTCTGTGCTAGGTGCTGGGCAGAGTATTTTACATAGGAGAACCCTAACAATGGGTGGCAGAGGTCCCATTTTATATGTGAGGAAACTGGGTCTCAAGGAGGTAAATAATATGTTAAATAGCATGCCCAAGGCTAGTAAATTAACTTGAAAGCACATGTCCCTTTTTTTTCCCCCCAATTTCATCCCCTGTCTTAGAAAGCAGGAATTATTGGTCTTTCTTGGGAGTCAGTTGTACCTGATATTACTTATGGGTAAATAAACTGAGGTCAAGTTTTGAATACTTTCTAAAGATATTTTTTTATGTTTCTTTGTTTATTTTGAGGAGCGGGGGAACAGAGGCAGAGAGAGAATCCCAAGCAGGCTCCACATTGTCAGCATGGAGTTCAACACTGGGGTCAAACTCATGCAGCATGAGATCATGATCTGAGCCAAAAATCAAGAGTTGGACGCTTGGGGCGCCTGCGACTTCAGCTCAGGTCATGATTTCACGGTTCATGGGTTCCAGCCCCACATCAGGCTCTGTGCTGACAGCTTGGAGCCTGGAGCTTTGCTTTGGACTGACTGACTCTCTCTCTCTCCCCCCCCCACCCCTCCCCCTGTTGTGCTCTCAAAAATAAATAAAAAACATTTTAAAAAATCGGACACTTAACCGCCTGAGCCACCCAGGTGCCCACAGTTTTGAATACTTTTAACTTTGTTCAGACAGGGATTCCTATTATAGGCTGTAAGGTAGCAGAATTGACTGGAAGAAATCAAGTCCAATTTTTTAGTCTTTGCAAACTTTGGACTTCAAGCTAATTTTTGTCCATGAATAACAGTATAAATTCTTTTTGATTGAGGTGATTTTGAATTCTTTTTTTTTAATTTTTGTTTAATGTTTTATTTATTTCTGAGAGAGAGACAGCATGAGCAGGGGAGGGTCAGAGAGAGAGGGAGATACAACATTTGAAACAGGCTCCAGGCTCTGAGCGAGCTGTCAGCACAGAGCCTGATGCAGGGCTCGAACCCACGAACCGTGAAATCATGACCTGAGCCGAAGTCAGACGCTTAACTGACTGAGCCACCCAGGCGCCCCAAGGTGATTTTGAATTCTTTAACGGAAATATAAGGGATTTTTAAATTTCTATTTTTCTAAGAAATACTGCAATTGGTAGAAAAATGTACATGTTAGAGAATACTAAATTCACAAAAATGTAACTTGTCAGGCAGAAATTTCAAAGATTATAAGTGCTCTGTAAATGTGGCCCCTTGGACTTTTCTCTTTCAGGCCACCAGTAGTTTTCTTTGGTTCTCATTCATTTTTCCCACTGATCCCTCTTCAAAGTTCTGCTTCTGTTCTCCAAGTGAAAATGCTCCTGTCTAACACTTCTGATCACTTCCTCCATCATTTGCCAAACACTGATCTCCTAGATGTTGTGCTCTAACCCTTACGATTTACTTCTTGAGGTGTTAGAGTAGCTCCCCAGAATATAAGCCCTGCCTCATGCTAAGTTTCCTGCTTTTGACATACTCATGTTAGTATCAAGTGAATGTTTAACTCTGACCCCAGAATTTGTGTGGAGAGTCGTTCAGTAAGAATGGTTCAGAGGGCAGTCACGTGGTAATTTATTTTGATGACCCATGGTGAGCTGTGTACGGCAAGGGTGCGTGAGACTTTTCCAGACTCACGTGGATTAGAGGGATCAGGGTTAGGGTCCCTTAGCAATTCCCCTCAGAGACAGAACCCAGAGGACATCAGACAGCTCACTCATACCTGAAACTCTGTGCTTCATCCAGACACTTATTTTAGGCTAGTGTCTAAATTGGGTACAGTTAGCCTTTTTGACTGCTCTTTCTGGTGTCAGGAGTTCAGGGCATCGGGAGGCTGGTGTGCAGGAAGAGAAGGTAGGCCTTATGTAGTCTGTCTTAGAACATCATGTTCAAAAGATAAATAGTTCCCCCAAAGGGGGGCAGTGGAAGCTTCTTATCCAGTTCAGTGCACACCCAAGCCAGTGCTTACCTTTAGGAGGAGTACAGCAAAGACCTGTTACTCAAAGCTGTGGTTTGTTCAAGGCTTGCTGAGCCCCTGCTCCCTTCAGGATGTGGTGTCTGGCCACAGCCCCATCTCCAGTGCACTGTTCACCGGCCCCCACTCCTACTGCAGGCAGCTGTTCTCGTGGCTGGCCCACCCTTAATCAGGGTATAAAGAACCTCTACTTTGAGCAGCTGACTTCTCAGCAAATCGTGGGAGTGTTTCCCTCAAGAATAACTTTAAAAACAGCAGAAATTACAGTCCAGAGTAGGGAAGTTGATAACCGCACAGAAAAGTAATGAGCTTTGTAAGAAGGGTCTAATGACAAAACATAAATGTACCTCCTAATCAAAGTTTCATTATATTTGGCTTTTGCCTTTTCACATAGGTTTGCATGCAGTGGATAGACATGGTCTTCTAGAAAGGCACAGCATGGAAACACTGTAGCAGTCTCGGTGGTGGTCCTAAGAACTAGAATGACCTAGGGGCGCCTGGGTGGCTCAGTTGGTTAAGCATCTGACTTCAGCTTAGGTCATGGTCTCATGGTTCATGAGTTGGAGCCCCGCCTCAGGCTCTGTGCTGACAGCTCAGAGCCTGAAGCCTCCTTCAGAGTCTGTGTCTCCCTCTCTCTGCCCCTCCCCTGCTCGCTCGCTCTCTCTCTCAAAAATAAATAAAAACATTAAAAAATTAAAAAAGGAACAACCTCAGAGGTGGCAATCAGAAAGTAGATGGCAAATCAGGTTCAGGGAAGGGAAGAAGCTTCAGCATCAGACTAGATGAGGCAAAAAATTATTTCTGAGGGCAGTCACATTTTGAATTTCAACATCTTTGAGTGACTTAGGGTTAATTCATATGCCTCTGAGCCTGCCTTTCTTTCTTTCCTTCTTTCTCTCTTTCTCTCTTTCTCTCTTTCTCTCTTTCTCTCTCTCTCTCCCTCTCTCTCTCTCTCTCTCTCTCTCTTTTTGTTGTTGTTGTTGTTGTTGTTGCTTAAGGCTCTTTGAAAAGCCAAAGGTAGATAAATTCCTAAAAAGGAAACATTCGATGATAGAATTCTAAAAATAATTTAGGCCATCAGACATCAGATTGTCCTAGGTACAAAACACATACTCACACCTAAGCCCCTGGGAAATAGTAACTTGTATTGCAGGGAGATTTGGGGAATTAAAAAGGCAGAACTCTCACCACTGTCCCTTTCTTCCCAAGCCCAGGGTTTCCTGGCCAGTTTATTACCAGTCATTTCTTCTGAGTTTCTAGATACAGTTGTCTTGGGGCGAAATCCCCTGCCCCACTTCACTTCTTGTCCTTATTCAAGGGGCAAGAAGAGAGATATGAGGGAAAGGCGAGGGACAGTTGGGTACCTGAGGTCGTACCTCCAGAAAACCTACGATAATAAATGGCAGCCACCGAAGTACTTTATATATATATTCAAATATATATGTGAATATATATATTTCAAATATATTTGAATATATATATATTCATTCAATTAAGATATCTCTGAGATAGATAACTATTATTACCACCATTTTCTAGATGAGGACATTTAGGCCCATAGAAGATAAATAACTTGCCAGTACTAATATAAGAGGTATAGTGTAGGGCTTTAGTATGGACGCAGGCAGTGTGACTTCAGAGCCGATATTCTTAGCTACCACCAGAATCTGGTCTATTGTCTTGGATAAGGTGACCAAGTATCCCCAGTGACTGAAAAAAGTACCTCACTTATATACCTGTTTGCAGTTTTCAGTCTGGAAATTTATTAACTCCTGCCAACTCCCCATTGTAAAAGTACATTTTCCCCTTTGTAATAAGTAAATAATCAGAAGGTCATATTTTGAGCCTCTGTGAATGCGTTGTTTCCCTTTCAGTTGATTTTAGCCTTCATTCACTGATGATCCTTGCCTATATCAGATCTTACATTGATGGATGCATCTTGATAATATTTTGATGGACTCAGATATATTAGACTTGAGTAGTCATTTCAAGACATCACTCTAAACAAGTCTTGGTGTTGAGATAATTCTCCAACTGTGTTATATGTGGCATAGCTTCTTTTTTTTTTTTTTTTTTTTTTTTTTAATATTTTTATTTATTTCTAGGAGAGAGAGAGACAGCGTGAGCAGGGGAGGGTCAGAGAGAGAGGGAGATACAGACTCTGAAATAGGCTCCAGGCTCCGAGCTGGCAGTCAGCACAGAGCCCGACGCGGGGCTCGAAACCACGAACCGCGAGATCATGACCTAAGCGAAAGTCGGACGCTTAACCGACTAAGCCACCCAGGCGCCCCTATGTGGCATAGCTTCTAATATTACCATATTTTCTCTTTTTCCCTGTCCTCCATCAAAAACCAGCCTAAAATGTATTGTTTTAACAAACCAACAAATAGAGAGTTGAAGCCCAGAAACTTAAGTTCTCTGGCGTACCATACCTCCAGAAAGACGAGTAGTGAAAACTGAAAAAAAAAAAAACAACAAAAAACCACACGGTTAAATATTCATGTACAAGTCTGTAACTCATTTCTTTGGCAATGCTTTGGCCAGCAGAGGGCAATGTATTACCAGCCCTAGTTAAACGTCTCTCGTAATTAAAGGCTGAAACATAAGCTGCCCACATTGCTCCGTTTTCCAGCTAGAAATGTAAAACGATTTAAAAGTTTAGTTTTTTTTAAGTTCTAATAACATGATAAACCTCTAACTCTATTTGACTAGCTAAAAACACTTTAAATGTAATAGAGTACGAGTAATTGTATAGACAGAGATTTCTGTCCTTAAGATGAAAACCCATTAGCATTCATCTGCCTTTAATAGGGTTTGTCCTGTGAGGACTTTTTGGTTTTGTACTGGTGATTATCACAAGAGTCAACTTTGTAGAACATTCACAGCCACAATTATTCTAGTAGTAAAAAGAGTCTGACATTTTAGTGTGTGAAAGTTATAACCATCTAATTTTAGTTAGTTTTTAAAAAAAAATCCTAGAAACTCATGTACGTAGTTTTAAAAGTTAAAACATACTGAGGGGCACCTGCGTGGCTCAGTCAGTTAAGCGTCCGACTTCGGCTCAGGTCATGATCTCACGGTTCGTGGGTTTGAGCCTCACATCAGGAGCCTGCTTCAGATTCTGTCTCCCTCTCTCTCTGACCCTCCCCTGCTCGCTCACTCTCTCTCTCTCTCCTCTCAGAAATAAATGAAACATTAAAAAAAAATTTTTTTAAGTTAAAACATACTAAAAGGCTGGGGCACCTGGGTGGCTCTGACTTTGGCTCAGGTCGTGATCTCATAGTTCGTGGGTTCAGGTGCTGCATCGGGGTCTGCACTGATGGTGTGGAGTCTGCTTGGGATTTTCTGTCTCCCTCTCTCTCTGCCCCTCCCTTACTTTAGCTCACTCACACGCTTGCTCGCTCTCTCTCTCTCTCTCCATCTCAAAATAAATAAATAAACTTAAAAAAATAAAGAATACTGAAAAAAAAATAAAGAATACTGAAAGGTTTATAATGAAAACATGTCTATTAATAAATGTAAATTAAAGCATATTTCACCTAATGAAGAAAACATAGGCAAACTCACTGTTCTCCTCCTCTGTAGTCTTTCGTCCCTTGAGCTCAACAAACTGCAGATCCTTTCATCTAAGAAAGCTCCTAACCAGGTGCCTCGGTATTCACCTCTCTCCATCAGGGGGAGCATATGCCTGTTTTTATCTCTGAGAACACATGGTTTGTTACTAAATCTTCAATAACCCTGCCAGTCCCCAGCCTACAATGGTTTGGAAAATAGCTATCTCCCTCTCTTCCTCACACACACAGCTTTCAAGTAAAATAATTCATGGCAGGGGCGCCTGGGTGGCTTAGTCGGTTGAGCGTCCGACTTTCGCTTAGGTCATGATCTCGCGGTTCGTGGGTTCGAGCCCCACGTCGGGCTCTGTGCTGACTACCAGCCCAGAGCCTGGAGTCTGTTTCAGAGTCTGTGACTCCCTCTCTCTCTGACCCTCCCCTGCTCACGGTATCTCTCCTACAAATAAATAAAAAAACATTAAAAAAAAATTCATGGCATTGCCTCTTTTGTTAACGAAATTACTTACTGTATCCATTGTCACCTTATTAGAAATAGGACACATAATTTTCATTTGTTTTATGTGCATCATGTATCCATTGCTGCATGCCAAGCCACCCCCAGACTTGAGGACTTAGGACAACCGTTTGTTCCCTCTTCAGTTCTGCAATTTGTTCTGTGCTCAGCTGGGCAGTTCTTCTGGCAGTCTCACCTGGGGTCATTCATGCAGCTCTGCAGCCTCTTAGTCATCCAGCAGTGGAGCTGAGACTGGGTGGTCCACAATGGCCTCACTCACATATCCGGAGCCTCAGCTGGGATGGTCGTGCATGCCGAGCATCTCTCTCCATGTGATCTTTCCTCCGGGTTTATATATAATGTGATGGTCTCAGGCTTCCAAGAGAGCAGAACTAGAAGCTACAAGGCCTCTTAAGGTTTTGCTCAGATGTCCTACAACATCCACCACATTTTATTGGTCAAAGCAAGTCACAGTAGCTGCCCAGATTCAACAGGTGGGCAAAGACTCCACCTCTAAATGGGAGGAGCTACAGGGAATTTTAATCTACCATTTTTAATCTACCATGTTGTTCTTTTTTATTTTTTTAATTTTTTTAAAATTTATTTCTGAGAGACAGAGACAGCATGAGCAGGGGAGGGTCAGAGAGAGGGAGATACAGAATCTAAAGCAGGCTCCAGGCTCTGAGCTGTCAGCACAGAGCGTGACGTGGGGCTCGAACCCACGAGCTGTGAGATCATGACCTAAGCCGAAGTTGGACACCCAACTGACTGAGCCACCCAGGTGCCTCATGTTGGGTTTTTTTTAATGTGCTTGCTATGGTAATGTTTTATCTCAATTTTTGTATTTTTCTCCCAAAAGTGTGTTTGCATTGGCTCTTTCCCTGGTGATTAATACAGTATGTATATCTCAGAGGCCGTAGTTTCTTGGGCAGTATTTCAAAAAGAAAAGGTTGAGTTTACTTTGCAAAGAGGTGCCCACTGTGTCCCACTTTGGTCTTGGAGCTGTCATTTTGTTTTGATTGTTTCTTATATTGAAAAGTACATCAAAAATGTCATGGATCCATGCCGTTTCTTTTGTACTTCTTATCCCTTTCCTTTCTGATTCCAGAATATTAATCCAGCTTTTCAGTAAAACTAGAAGGAAAGTCCATTTTCACTAGTTTGATCCCGAAAGCTGGACAAATTCTTTGGCCTCTCCAGTACTACAGCCTAAAAGGGTGTGTAAAGACGATTAGTGTAACTCACCCCTATGGTAGCTTCCCCCCAACCCGGTGTTCGCCACCCCTTACCCACCCACCATGCTGGGTTGTAGTTGCTACTCAAGATTTCCTTATATGCAGGATCACAAATGAAAACTGTCAGAACAGGAGACCCACATTTATTTACTTAGCTGATTCCTCTCACTAGTTGCCACATATATTTGGAACCCTGTAATCAGGCCCCACAGGAGCTGACCCTGTGTGTTCCAGTGTTTTTCAAGACTCACTGGCCACAAAGGGGAACTGAATATGAACATGCATGCAAACCTCATCAGTTCCCTTTGCAACCAGCTGAAAGTTGTTTTTAATATAGAGGAAACAATGTTTTTCTTTTGAGTACCAAACAATTTCCATGCAGACCTGAAGCATTTCTGCTTCTGACAGATCAGGGGACATACAAGAAAATAGGGCACTAAGTTGTGAGGTAGGCAGTTTAAAGACAAAGTAGGAAAACAGAGCAAAAACTGAATTGAGGAAGAGAAAGAGGTGCTGCTGTGTGCAGGAAAGAAACAAAGCAGAGGTGGGGGATTGGGGTACTAGAAAGTCTTAGTAAGTAAGAGAACAGGAGAAGAGGCAGGAACTGTGGAAAGGAAATGTCTATAACAGGAAAGGGCCTAGAGCAGCACTGCCAGCAGTATTAACAGAAGGCATTAAAATCTTTTGGTCCAGAAGTTTGCCATTGGATAAAGTTTGAAAATATAACTGATTAGAGTGATTATCATTCCCACCCAAGTTCATGCTAAGGAGCCAGGTTTATAGGAAAGATGCCTTGTCCCCACTTCAGAATGCAGTGTGGTAACCTGTTTGGCCACTCGGATTACCCAACAAAACCAAGGATCAGTAAGAAAGTAGAGAAACCTAAGCACGTAACATAAATGTCTCAAAGCTCCTAGAATCCACCAACTTACTTTAGACTTCAAACAGTTTCTCTAGCAGTAAAAAAAATGCCTGCTATGTGTTGAGCAAGAGACCTACGTCAAAGTCACGACAAAAGAAGATTGAGGGAAACTGCTTGGGGAGCACTGACCATACATCAAGCAGCCTCCCACCCCTCCCTGCCCCTGCCCCCGCATGCACACATCTGAGTAGCCCCAAGGACATTACTGTAGTGACACACATGGCACGGTTGGATTGCAGGTGGCCCCTGCTTGCCACTCACTGAAGCAGCGAATGTTCCGTAAGACTCAAAACTTCTATTAAAGGGATCTAGGGGCACCTGGGTGGCTCAGTTGGTCAAGCATCCAACTTCATCTCAGGTCATGATCTCGTGGTTCAGGAGTTTGAGCCCCACGTCAGGCTCGGTGCTGACAGCTCAGAGCCTGGAGCCTGCTTCAGATTCTGTGTCTCCCTCTCTCTCTGCCCCTCCCCTGCTCGCTCGCTCTCAAAATAAATAATAAACATTTAAAACGCTTTAAATAAAAGGATCTAAAGAACATCTAATCCAAACTTTATTAAATGCTTGAAATACTTTGCTACCTTCCAGCCTGCTGGGGATCGAGACTGTATTGAAACACTTCTATTAACAAATAACTCACTGGCTTTCTATTCTATGTGAGATCTGTAATTATTAGAAAACCCTGTCTTACAATCCGGTGAAACACGCTGCTTGTAACTTCCATCCTTCACTGATCCTCTTTCAGCTTGCTCCTTGAAGCTACACACTTACACACATTTTTGCCCTAATGTCTTTTCTTTAGTCTTCTGCTTTAAGGCTACATAAGCTCATTCTTTCCCCTGGTTTTCTGAGATCCTGTAAGGTGCCCTCACTGTCCTCTTCTATTTGTTCAACGTTCAGAGTATGGTTCTGACTAGCGCAAGGTCAGTCTGTCGCCACTCTTGTCCTGCACAGCTTAATGAAAGCTGAAGTTAAATTATTTCCCTGTGCGAGTTTCTTCCCCCATCTCATTTGATTCAGATCAGCTTCCACTGTATATCTTCTGAGTTCTGATGTTCACCTTCAGCTTCTGGCCAGTCCATTCTAGAGATTTTTCCCTTGACATTTGAATATTTAGATAACATATATTGAATGTTTCCTCTTGGCCAGGTACATTTATTAACTCACTCAGTCCTCATAACAACACTACGAGTTAGGTACTCCTTGTTTTCTCAGTAGAAGAAAGAGAGCTTGTCCAGGGCTACATAGTAAGTGGTGGAGCCAGAAATTGAACTAGGGCAGTCTGGCTGCAACGGCCGCCCTCTAACCTGGCTGTTATAGTGGACTCTCGGTTCTGTTACTTAAGAATGGTTAATGCCACTGGGCCAAGAAGACCTATTGGATCCAGCCCCACCATCGTCCCTGCCAGGGCCTTACTGATGGGATACTGCTCCATTGTTCAAGACTCTTCTCTGGAACTGTGTTTGGATGGTCAGTACCAGCATCTTCTATATGAATACATTTAATAGGTCACCACTAGCCTAGGAGACTTTCTAGGCTTTCAAAACATTTGCATATCTGTGCTCAGATGTTTGAATTTTGTAGTTAACTCTCAGAAAAGATTTCTCTGTTCTCAGGGGATGCCTCATTTGGACTCTATTTATGACTGTAATGCCAAACTAATTATAATTTTCTCCGCAAATTCTTTATCATAGTCTTTGAGAGATGTATATCAAAGGGCCAGGATTCATCTAGATTTTTTATTAGAAAGTTTCTTTAAAGCAAAAGAGAAAAACATCTTACTTTGTGATGTCTGGCAAAAGAAACCATAAGCAAAGGACAAGGTAAGGCCCATACAGATAGAAGTGACTTACAACCCACATAAACAACAAAAGATTAGTATCCAGGATATGTCAAGAACTATTTCAACAATTTGAAAGAAAAGAGTAAAAGATAAGCAACTAAGAGGGAAAGGGGGAGAGGCATAGATATGAACCAGGCTATTTACCCAAGAAGAAACCTGAATGGGGGGGAAAGAAACATGAGATGATGCCCCATTTCATTTGTAATCAGGCAAGCACAAATTAAAACCACAGGGAGATATCATTCACACCTACCAGATGGACAAAAGTTAGGAAATCTGACAAAACCAAGTATTGGGAAACAAGAACTCGTGTCTTACTAGTGGTGGGAGAGGTGTATAAATTGGTAAAAATCCCTTTGGAGAGCAGCTTGTCACAACAGAGATAAATTGAGGATGTGCATACCCTGACAACCAAGCATTTCTACTTGTAGGTGTGAACCATAGAGAAATTCCACCCATGCGCACAGAGCATACAAGAGACTTCACTTGACCCTGGTTTCTCATAGCGAAAAAGTGGAAACCACCTAAGGGCCCTTTGTTAGGTGAAATGGAGAATTGAACTGATCTATTGTTTGTTCCCACAGTAGAACACTGTATATCAGTGAAATGAATAAATGAGGCCTACATGTATCAACATAAATGTAAATTGAGGGAAAAAGTTACAAAGAGGTGTAGTAGTAAGATACTATTTGTATAAATTTTAGTAACAAATCTAATGTGTATTGTTACACATGCCTATGTGACAAAAGTATACAAATACACATCAGAATGATACGTAGTAACTTCAGGAAACAGGATCCTTAAGATGAGCTTTAGTGAAGCTAGCTTTTGGAGTTATATATGGGTACAAGAGAACAGTAAAGAAAGAGGACAAGTGTCAACATCTGTTAAACTTGGGTGGCTTGCTGCTTGTTATGTTTCTTTGTATGTTTGAAATGTTTTAGAACTAAAAAAAAATTATACATGGAATGATTAAGCCACAGTATAACCGTAGCAGTTAACTGTTAATCCTGAAATAACTGTATGACTTACTAAAGCAAAAAGAGATTCTATGCATCATTCATACCTATATTCAAAAAACACCATTAGAAACCTTTATGTGGGACGCTTGGGTGGCCCATTTGGTTAAGTGACCGACTCTTGATCTCAGCTCAGATCTTGATCTCTGAGTCATGAGTTCAAGCCCCGTGTTGGGCTCTGTACTGGGTATGAAGCCTACTTTAAAAAAAAAAGTTTCAAATCTCATCTTATGATCTTTATGCACTCTTAGCCAGAAGCAAAATTAATAAGGGTGAGATGCTCTAAAATTTTATTATTTTCCCCATTCAGATTTTATGCTTTTGGCTTTTGACATCACACAGTTTTGCTGAGTGATAAACAGATTTGCCCCATATACATATTGCCGGTTTATGGTTTGTTTGTTTTTTTAGACATCTCAGCAGTTAACCATTGTGCTTGGGCAGAATGAAATGAAAACAAAAAGCATTGTCTTAGCAGAGACGATGTCTACGGAGTAGAAGTCTACTAACTCATATCCCATCATATGTCAAAGACCGTTTTACTTACGTGACTGCGATAGAGATAAGATGATATTGTGTGTCCAGCATTCAGCTTAGTAGAGGGCACATAAATATCTCTCCTACTTTGCTTCTCATTTTCTTGCATGTGAACTTGAAAGGGGGGAAATAAGAGGCATAGCAGAAGTTTAGGACAAGCCTAGCACTTCCTTTCCAGCTCTGAGTCTGTCGTTACCACCAGCCAGCCAGCCCTCTCATATCTTCATCTGCAAACCAGACTGCACTGAGGCACTGCAACAGCCATTCACTGGTGTGTGTTCTCAGCTGGGCCATGTAACCATCAAAAAAGACATTGAATCAGCCAGTGTGAGAGTGTGCCTTCGTTTCTGTCTCATCTCAGTTGACATAGTTCAGGGTATATTCTAAGTTTTGAATGCTTTCTTCTGATCAAAAATAGAAGTTTCTTTCCAAGTTGTGATGTCTGTTGGTATCTGACACAAGAGGCTCTCCTAAGTAGATGTCATTATCTGTTGTGAATATTTCTCCCACTGTGTGCTTTTGCTTTTATGTTAGTTTGTGGCTTTTGACCAAAAACAAAAATAATAGTGTGCATTTTCCCTATAGTTATTTCTCATTTTATTAATAGAAAGTTCTTTCCCATTCACAGATGAGTTAGTCACTTACATATTTTTAAATCTTTTAATGATTTCATTATTTACATCTGACAATCTAATCCACTTATGTTTTTTGGTGTGGCATGAGGTGAGGCTATAAACTGACTTTTGATTTTAAATAAGTGCAGCGCTATTTATTAATCCATCCCTTCCTTCCCCTGTGCCCTTCATGATGTTTCCTTTATTTGCAGGGTTCTCCCTAAGGGAGGAAAGTGTATCATAGTTACTCAGGAAGCTTTTCAGAAATCCACTTAACCTCACTTTGCATGATTCTAGCGCATCTTGAGTACCAGAATCTTTGGTCGCCCCCTTCTCTTTTTTGAGAGCCATTAATTATGGCATATAATCTTCTCCTGTATCATCAAGGGTCTGCCTAGAGATGTGTATTCTGTTCTACTGATAAGCTTACCCTTGAACCTGCTGCACAGTGCTCTCATTGAAAGATAATGTGTTTTAATATCTGGCCAAATAAGTTTCCATTCATATTTCAAAAACCTAAAGAATAGCCTGTTAACATGTTTCCGCAAAATCCAGGTTGCCTCTGGAGAAGACTCTATTTTATGTTGTTTTGCTCTTGTGGGTAACTTCCAGTAAGGCTTTGCTTCAAAGAGTTGTAATTATATTAGTTCTACTTTTATATCAGCAGGACTGAAGAATCTGTTTTAAAAAGAAGTTGAAAAACTTTCTGTACTTGAACAAAATTTCCTTTTTCTGTTGACCTGATCTTAGAAATTCAACCGTCATCAAACCCAGCTTTGCACAGAATACTTTGCAGTATTCAGCATTTAGGCCTCAGTCTGGCAGCCAGGCAGTTAATTTTGCCCTTGTTTAGTTTTGCACGTGTCAGATGCTATTTAGAAACTTGTTCTGAATATCTTTTGCAAGATGAGGATATGTGTATATACCTAGGAATTTCCTTTTCCTGTATCTTTCTAGAGCTAAATTTTGGGTTGGGGGACATAGGGACAGGTGTTTCCTGCTTGCAAACACTGATGCTCAGTAAGAAATAAAAAATTATATTTAATAAATAGCCCTAAATTTGGTAAGTCAGTAGCATGTTTTTCTAAAAATTTACAAACATTCTCAGGATTCATTTTACTATAAGGCATATTATTAGTGAAACTTCTATCAATAAACAAAGTCTGTCATAAACTTATGCACAGATTGGCTTTTATCAAAATTTATTTTACTACAACTTTTATACCACAAATTAACTCAGTGTTGTACTTTTCCTTTTTTTTTTTTTTTTCTTTTAAGAATGCTGTTGTGCAGGACTTTGTATAAGGATCATCTCATTTAATATAAATAATGAGACAGCTTCTAGAACTATGAGTATATTTATATTTCTTTTAATGTTCATAAAACTAATAGTAATGTGATTTAAGCATTCAAACTGTATGTTTACAATAGAGATATGTAGGGATGTAAGATGCTTACTGGTAACGTAAAAGAAAATTTTTTTAACTTTGAGAACATGAGAGAAAATTAGTATTATCATATCTTAAAACCATACAAACAGAAATGCTGAATTTCAGTTTGATGTTATTTGCTAATAATGCCAGAACAAAGTAATATAAATTTTTTCTGAGCTTCTAATTTTTCTGCAAATTTCAATTTTCTCAAATGTTTCTTGTTTCTTAAGTATAATTCTGTTTTGACCAGTTCTTTATTCAATCAGTTGTGTGGACTTATTGATATATGGCTGCGCACTAATTGTATGCAAGCCAAATCCCATTAAAATATTTTAAACCTATGGGGCACCTGGGTGGCTCAGTCGGTTAAGCATCCGACTTCAGCTCAGGCCATGATCTCACAGATCGTGAGTTTGAGCTCTGCGTTGGGCTCTGTGCTGACAGCTCAGAGCCTGGAGCCTGCTTTGGATTCTGTGTCTCCCTCTCTCTCTCTCTGCCCCTTCCCTGCTCTCTCTCTTGCGCGCATTCTCTCTCTCACTCTCTCTCTCTCTCTCAAATAAGTAAACATTAAAAAAAATTAAATTTAACCCTAACAAAATTCTTCATACTCTTTAAAACTGATTTCCTGAGTGGCCCACCTGACATTTGAAGAATTATTCTAACTATAAGAAATTCTGAATGGAGATTTTGAGTTTGTCATAACAGGTTTTTACATATTTACTTAATGGCATTCTGATTGTGTGTGTGATCAAAAAAACTGAACAAATGCTAGACAAACTTTTAAGAATGCTTGCTTTAATGAAATCTCCTGATTACAATTGTATGATGTTCTGTGCAGCTATATCCAGACACACCGACCAAGAAAAAAAATGAAATACACCCACATTTTCAATTCTGTTAAGCACCCCTTCCATCCCTCCTTGTCTTATTTGTCCACTCATTCAGTTATTCAGCAGATACCTCTCGGTCACCTATGTGCCGTGCAACACACTAAGCTCCCAGGAGCCGTTGATAAATAAGACCCCTTTCTCTTGGGGCTTAGTCTCCAGTTGGTTTTGAGCATACATGAAAATTTCAGAACTTGCTTCCTTTAATTCTAATCTCTAGATTTCTTTTCTTATAAAATATTTCAAACACTCAGCAATATACCAAAAATAATACGACAGATACCCAAATACTATCACACAGGCATAACAGACATTAACATTTTGGCATTTTGGCTTCAAATGTCTCCAGCTGTAACCATTAACTTTAAGTTAATGTGTTATGTTGTGTACATTATGCACATTTTGTTCTTTTACTGCATATCTATAGATCTGTAAAGAATGTCATATTTTATGTGTTTTGTGTTTTCCAATAAATGATTTCACATGGTATATACCCTTTTGCAGTAGGTTTTTGGTTGTTGTTTTTTTATTCAACATTGTTTTTGTTAATTCTCCATGTTGATGCATGCAGATGTAGTTCCTTGAAGCACTGTGTAATGCTCCCTTTTGTTTATAAGCCACAGTTTATTTCTCCATTCCTTTGCTGATACATTCTCAACTTAAGTTGTTTTCAATCTTTGGATATTATGAACCAGTAGTTCACTGAGCATGTTTATGTATGGTCTCCTTGTGTACATGCTTGAGTGGTTCTGTCAGATGTATATCTAGTAGCAGACTTGATGGATCATGGGATGTGCATATCTTCAATTTTACTCCAATAAAGTGTGGTCCAAGATGGTGGAGTCATTTATAAATCTGCTTGGAGGAAGGTGGGGGGTTAAGTGCTCTTGCTAACCTATCAAATTCTTAGGTTATCTGTTGCTTGATTTTACTATACAGTATTTAAATTTGATTTTATCTAAGCAGTTATAGATAATAAGTGATTTCAATTTTTAATTAGAATTCTATTATTTCATCTGTTATGGAGGTTTAGGCATAAATGGATACAGTAGCAAACTATACAGGCTTTTTAAATTACAAAGAACATATTTTCTGACATGTTTTTGGTCCTCAAATCATTTACCTTTAAAAAAAATGTTTATTTTCAGACAGAGAGCACACAAGTGGGGAAGGTGGGAAAGAAAGAATCCCAAGCAAGCTCCGCACCACCAGCACAGAGCCCAATGTGTGGCTTGAACCCACAAACCACAAGATCGTGACCTGAGCCAAAGTCAGATGCTTAAATGACTGAGCCACCCAGGCGCCCCTAAATCATTTACCTTTTAAACATACTCTAATATTAAGTGCTTAATTTTGAGTAACTACCTTAGTGAAAGTACATTTTAATTACTCTGTTGTTAAAACTATAAATTTCACTTAACTTTAAAAATCTATGTTAAGAGTGTTAACAACATATTTTGAAAAGATTTTACATACGGATTTAAAATCTAGTGATGAGTATAAGCTTTTCTTGCCCTCGAAATATATACAACTAAGCAAATGAAGTAGCACAAATATGCAAAGAGTTTTGAGCAGATCTGAGCTTTGCAGATGCTAGGGCTTTGTTTTTCCTAAGTTTTAGTTCTTCAAAGTATTAAGATGTTGTATTTTCTCGTTCTTTTTAATGTGTTTACCTCAAGTGATTTAAGAAGGAGACTGAATTTTAGCTGCAGCGGATGTATCATGCAGGGAGTACCCTGGTTTAAATTCTGACGTGCTTTCACTTCTGCTTGCTTCCCCTTGAAAGCGTCTAGAAAGAAGCTGGCACATTATTTTGCGGATGTTACTGGACATCAGGAAATACATGACTGGGTCTAAGCAGCTATTGAAAGATGAGAAAACCAGCATGATCTCATTGGTTTTGTGAATGATTTCCTTCCAATAGCAAGGTGGATTGTTCAGCTGTGAAAAAATATAGACAAATCGGAAGGCATGATAGGGAACAAAACATATAGTAAAAATGATGAGTACAATAAAGGAATTCCGAGCTGTAGTGGCATATTTCCCAGAATTGGGAAATTTTGACCTCCTTTTAGAAATCCTCAGTAGATTCTTGCCGATCTTAATATACGAAAGGATTATTAGTAAGAAAATTAGCCAGAACATTACCACAAGAATGAGGTTAAAAATTGCTTCTCCCTCCGTCTTCTCTCTATAATGGAAACACATTGTGGAATTATTGATATTATGGCCTTTCTTAGGGGTTAAAATAATCATAGTTAGAAATCCAGCAAGAGCAACTGTCCATACTACACAGCAAACATAAATACTTTGTTTGGTTGTTACTGCCTTCCGTTGTTGTATAGACCGATTGATTTTTATGTAGCGATCCAAACTGATGAATCCAAGCAAAATAATGCTAATGTACATGTTCATATAAAATAGTGTTCCCACAGCCTTGCAAAAGATCACTCCAAGTGTCCACTTGTTCTGGTTAATGTGATACATTATGCGGAAAGGCAAGCAGAAGATCAGTAAGAGATCTGCAATGGCTACATTCAGTAGGTAAATCTGAATGGAATTTCTTTTGCGGTGGATACCCAGAAATACATAGAGGGCGATTATGTTTCCGACCAGTCCCACGATGAAAATAACCGAGAAGGATGCTGTTAACACACTAGAGAGCAGTTTCTCATCCATGACACAGCTAGTAGCATTTGGTGATCTTGAGACGGTGTGTGGCGTTTGGATGCTGTGATTAGCGGTAAAGTTCACTCCCTGGGAGGAGCAAGGCCAGCTGTAGGCCATAGTGGTTGGCATTGTTACGACGTGACTTCTCATTGTCTGGTATAGGGATCAAAAAGTGAAGGTGCTAAATGACGTGTTCCTTGTGTGTAGCTTTGATATCTTCAGAATTTTCCTGCAATGGAATGCAGCATTGAGTCATTTGCCATTTTAATAACGGTCACTTTAACTCTAAGCACAAATAATAAATGATACATTTTCAGACGGGAGAAACTTTGACTATCTACACTATGTATGTAGCAGCAGCATGGTATCACAACTGAAGCAGTAAATGTACTAGAGTCTTAAGGAATGTCCTGCTCTGACCTTTCCTATGGCTGTGGTATACATTCAAGGTTTGTTTTATTTAACCTGCCATAAGGGGTTTGTTATGGGAATAGAGATGGAGGTACAGAGAAATGACAGCTCATATTGTTCAAAGATAAGGGTCAATTTCCCAAAAGGTAGTTACAGCCATGAGTGAGCTGAGCCCACTGCCGACCCCTGCCCAGCTCCCTGCCTTGACTCCTTCCCTTGTGTCTGGTATTCATTCCTTTGGGCAAGGATTGCCACACAGCGTAGGACATTAACTGTGGCAGTCTCCCATTCTAGGGTGGGAATAGAGGAAAGAGTCCTAAATTTCTTCCTTTTCAAGCTAGACCAAGTCGGGTGTATTAAAATCATTTGCCTGCGAGCTGTGCAGACCCAGGAGAGCAGAGCACCTGCTCCCTCAGGCAGACTCTTGTAACACAAAGCCAAACAACCCCAAACCGGGTGGCATCGGCCACCAGTTGGGCCAGATGGACAGTCTCCTGACCCGGAAACATAGAGCAATAGTACAGATGGGAAGCAGGACGTGCATTCCAAGATTCTGAAACAACTAACTGTAGCTTACTATGCCTCGGGTTAGGTCCTTTGCAACTGTTGCTGGAACCTTATAAGAGAGTGTGTGTGAATTCCACTCATTTGCTGCAGCAGAGAATGTTAGTGCCACCTGATCTTGGCCCCTTCCTGGGCATTGAGTACAGTGAAGCCCTCAGTCTGAGAGGCCATCATAAGGAGCTAGAAGACATGAAGAGAGGGTCCCAGGAGGTCTCATCACATTCCTTTCTTAGAGTGATTGCCCCATTTCCCTACAGCAGCATCTTAGCAGCTGTAACACAAAGACGTTCTGAGCAAGGTTACCAAAATCAGACCTGACTAACTCTCTGTGACCTTCGTCACACCAATTCATCTTTTCTAAGCCTCGGGTTTCTTACCTGTAGAAATGCACAATGTATATGAAGAGCTTAACCCCAGGCACATAGAAGTTCTCAAAGAAAATTAGTTTACAAAAATCCAAAAAACACCACGGTGCCTGGGTGGCTCAGTCAGTCAGGCATCCAACTCTAGTTCAGGTCACAAACTCACAGTTCGTGAGTTCAAGCCCTGTGTCAGGCTCTGTGCTGACAGCTGGGAGCCTGGAGCCTGCTTCGGATTCTGGGTCTCCTTCTCTCTCTCTGCCTGCCTCCCTGTCTGTCTCTGTCTCTCTCTGTCTCTGTCTCTCTCAAAAATAAATAAACATTTTTAAAATTAATAATAAATAAGAAAAAAAATTAAAACACCTTTGGGGTTGCCTGAGTGGCTCACTTGGTTGAACTCCTAACTCTTGATCTCAGGTCATGGTCCCAGGGTCATGGGATCAAGCCCAGTGTTGGGTTCTGAGCTGAGCATGGAGCCTGCTTAAGTTTCTCTCTCTCTGCTCATGTGCAGGCATTTTCTCTCTTTCCCTCACCCCTACCCCCTCACTCATTCATGCTCTCTTTCTAAAATATATATGTATATATAAACACCTTTGGACTAACCTCACTTTAGTAAATATTTCATACCTGGCTAAGTACTGCATGGAAACCAAAGTTGAACAAGACCAAGATTCTGCTCTCAAGAAACATTTTTGTAGGCATGTGCATTCAAATTCTGAATGCTATCATGTAAAGTGGAATTGAATTAAAATAACTTCTGGATGTGACATGGTACACAGAGAAATACATTTGGAAGAACTTAGCCTTTCTTAACATTCTGTCTGTAATTTGATCGAGAAGAAACTATGTAGTCAAGGATAAAGTTCCAGTTTAAAATGTTGCTAAAGAGGGAAAATTGATTCCAGGGAAGAAAAACTGGCTGGTGAAGAGGAAGTTATGTAATCCATCTCTGGTAAGAGCCTGTCTCCACAGTTCAGGTCAGTGGAGGGAGGGAGGCAGGCAGACCCAGTCTGGTCTGTCCTGTGTCTCAACTGCCGGAACCAATTTCAGCAAAGCTTATAGAAAATTACAGGCATGTATCTGGTGATTGGCAATTCTAGAAGGAAAGGGCAATCTAGGAAGAATGGCAGGTTCCCAAAAAAGTAAGCAGATAATGCAACCTAGATTACCAGGAAGAGGAAAAAGCGTGCCTGAAGGAAGGATTTGCATTGTATGGTTAGGTGGGAACCTTGCTGTAGCTCAGGTAGAAACCTCCCATGGCCACTGATAAAAGAGAATTTGATGGCAAGTGATAGGACTTTGAGAGCTCAGATAGCCAAAATGACTGTAAAAACTCATTTGTAAATAGTTCTTTCTTTTCTTTCTTCCATGCTAGATCTTAAACTCTATTAGGATTGGAAAACCAAGTCTTTTTTTCTTTGCCTCTGTGTACCAAGTGCTTAGCATGGTACATATTACTGAATGAAAGAGGGAATTTAGTAGAAAAGCCAGTGGAATTTTACGTGTGGACGTCAAAATCAGCTGTTCAAATACAGGAGGGGCTTTAGCTGCATTAAGAAACAAAACCGCATTTGCTGTGTCAATAGTGTGATGCGCCTGCAGCAAAAACTAATCACTATGAGTTCTTTGGTTGAACTCATAGATATGAAATGTCGTAAGTGGAGATTGTTACCACTAACCTGAAGGTTGTTATTACTAGTCCTGAGCTGGTAGGGCCTCCTAACAGCACACTTAGAAACTGCCACAGACCACATGGGGAGAGAAGCCCAAATCATGTCCTAGGAGCAAGCTAAATTGGAAGTAGGCACCTTACCCTGGAGAAGTAGAAGAGACTCTCAGTGGCTCTCAATCTGGGCTGCATATTAGAAGGCTTTTTAAAGGTATCAGTGCCTGGCTCCAACCCCATATCCTCGGATTTAATTGGTCTGGAATGGGCTCCAGGCAATGGTTTCCTTTAAAAGCTCCTCAGGGGATTCTAACGTGCAGCCAGAATTGAACCCTTGAGCTAGGTGGCTGAACCTTTAACTACTATTTATTTAGCAGTTGCTGTGTACCAGGCAGTGTGTGAAGCACATTTATATTCATTTACATAAGCCTTATATTAACCTTGTGAGGTAAGTATCACAAAAGAGGCAATGAGAAATCAAGAGGTTGTGAACTTTACCCGTGACCACGCAGTTCTTAAATGGCAGCACCCAAGCTGGGACTCACATCTGCCTAGCTTTTAGGGTCCATGATCCTTTTTGCTAAACCTCACTCCTCCTGATCACACATGATCAGCATTTTCTTTTTTAATTCTGAGTTCTGTCAGCCAAATTTAGACATGATTCCTTCAACATTATCCACATTGGCAATTTTTTTTTTTAAGTAATCTCTACAACCATTGTGGGACTCAGTCACAACCCTGAGATCAAGAGTCCTGTGTTCCACTGCCTGAGCAGCCAGACACTCCTTAAAGATTTTATTTTTTAAGTAATCTTTACACCCAGTGTGGGGCTTGAACTCACAACCCCAAGATCAAAAGTCACATGTTCTACTGACTGAGCCAGCCAGGTGCCCCTCACATTAGCAATTTTAAGAACAGCTTTACTTCTAGCTTTACTTCTTTGGGAAAAGGTATTAATCTTTTCATTTCCCCTGTCCATTAGAGTAAGTAAAGAAGTCCAGAGTTTATAGAATCACAAAGCATTCATTGGAATGTTTAGCACGTTTCCTAGAGCATATCTTTTCAAACTTACTTCTAGGCCTGAAAGCCGTAATCAAGATATTTCTTGAAAGCTGTTAGCACAAAGCACGTATCCTGAAACCATTTGCTCCAGCTCTAATCTGCCAGTAAAATAAATAAATAATAGTTGGACAGAGTTGCCAATAAACCTTTCTGGTTTTGCTTTATCTTCAAGCCTAAAGACGATAAAAGTTAAGGGGTGCCAGGGTGGTTCAGTAGGTTGAGCGTCCAGCTCTTTTTTTTTTTTTAATTTTTTAAATGTTTTTATTTATTTCTGAGAGAGAGAGAGAAAGCGTGAGCAGGGGAAGGTCAGAGAGAGAGGGAGACAGAATCTGAAGCAGGCTCCAGGCTCTGAGCTAGCTGTCAGCACAGAGCCCGACACGAGGCTCGAACCCACAAATGGTGAGATCATGACCTGAGCCGAAGTCAGACCTTTAACCGACTGAGCCACCCAGGCGCCCCGAGTGTCCAGCTCTTGAATTCAGCTCAGGTCATGATCTCGCAGTTAATGGAATTGAGCCCCACATCCAGACTCGGCACTAACAGTGGGGGGCCTGCTTGGGATTCTCTCTCTCTCTCTCTCTCTCTCTCTCTGCCCCACCCCAGGCACACATGCTCTTGCTCTCTCTTTCTCCCTCCCCCTCTCAAAATAAATAAACATTTAAAAGAAAAGAAAATAAAGCAAAAGCACTGCATTTGTTTTAATAGTAATAGTACCATCATTTAGAACCATGTATTAGGTGGCTAGTGTCCAGTCATCTATTAACAAATTAACAGATTAGATTCTGTTTTACACTTAATGGCTAATTTTTGCCTTTCAGTGTGTCAGTCACTCACTGTTCTTAAGGCCATCTATTGATGTGTAAAAACTACTTATTTGATAAGACTGGCCAATGAGGACAAGAAACAGACCACTGTGTTCACATAATGGACTAGTTTCCCAGTGAGTATTAAGACTCCTGTGGTATATTGAAGTGGTCACAATGGTTTTCTGATAGTAGGTGGTAAAAAGTTTTTTTAGTGTTGTTACTTGACAAATCCTGAAGTTTGCCGCCCTTTGTTAGTGCTGCATTTGTACCCAGTACCACCACCCACTTCCAATAGTCTTCATCTGGCTCACGTAGGAGCTTCTATAATGGAGAGCAGCACATTACAGATTCCATGGTGGCCTCTAATAAACAAAAGCTTTTTTTTTTTTCCTTTTAAGTTTGTAATTATTTAAGTAATCCCAACACCTAGCATGGGGCTCGAACTCACAACCCTGAGATGAAGAGTTACATGCTCCTGTGACTGAGCCAGCCAGGCGCTCCAAGCAAAAGCTTTTTAAATGTACTTCGGGTATGTTTGTGAAAACATTACATCGCTATGTTAAAATACATACCTATTTGGCAATAGTAGCAACCTTTCACTGTTTGTAGTTTGACTTGATAGTGACCGGATCCCTCAGGCCATGCTTCAAAAAACTGCACTAATTGCTGCATATGGAATAAAAATCGAAAGCGTGTTACTTTGGAACTAATACTATTAGTAGTACATTCAGTTCTGCTATAAACTTAACAGTAGAATAAAGTGCAACCATTGAAACTAGGGAGACAGCATAACCATAAAGTTAATAAGTGATAGATCACCTCTACCACATTGAAAATAAAATTGGCTGGGGCTTCTAGGTGGCTCAGTCGGTTAAGCGTCCGACTTCGGCTCAGGTCATGATCTCATGGTTCGTGGGTTCAAGCCCCGCGTCAGGCTCTGTGCTGACAGCTAGCTGAGAGCCTGGAGCCTGCTTCGGATTCTGTGTCTTCCTCTCTCTCTGACCCTCCCCTGCTCATTCTGTCTCTATCTCTCTCTCAAAAATAAATAAAACATTAAATAAATAAATACATAAATACATAAAATTGGTGGTTGCTTATGAAAATAACTTTCAGTCAACTCCAGTGTCTCTGCACGTCTTTATGGCAGAGCACAAAAGACCGTGTAAGCAGTGTGACCACATCGGTAGATGAGCTTCAGTCCCTGCAGTGTCCTCAAGTACTTCAAGTAACTAAGAAGACAGCCTCATTTTAAGTCAAACCAAGGCAGAGGTCTCATTCAAGCACCTTACTCAGGGCTCTAGAAAGCAAAATGGTGCTAGTCACCATGAAGCCAGTTTCACCTTTAATATTCAGAGAAGCAAATTTTAACTGAAATAATGGATTATTTCTATAACTGAAATCAAGGCGTACTCACAGTTCAGGCTCTCTTGCAGTAAAAGGAGCAGAGCCCCAAGCTTCCCTAAACACAGAGACTCGTCTTTATGTGTCAGCTGGGTTCTCCATCCGGTGGTGGTTCAATTGGTTGAGGTTGTCTTTTTTTATATTTGCATGTGGTAATCAGGCTGTTCCCCCCCCCCCTTTTTCTTTCTTTTTTCGATATGATACCCCTCCAAGTCCTTGTAGAAATGTTTAACAACTTCGTGTTTAAGCTCAGTCAACATTCCAACTTTAGAAAATGTTTTTTCTATGCATACCTTTCACCTTGGCAGTCGTAGGAAGTTTTCCCTTATCCCCGTCCCACCCCAGATAAAGAAGTTTTATGAATTCTAAGCAGAAATAATGCATTTTCTGTTTTTTCTAGGAAATAATGTATAATATGCATTGCATTTGCTGTTTCTTTCAGGATTCATTTTAGAAATTAAGCAATTCACAGAAAATGACATTCCTGTATTGAATCGTACTAACGTCAACAGTGAATTATTTTATCCTTTTTTATAAGTTTTGGGTTTTCTTTTTAACTTTTACTTGACCTGTACATTATTTTAGTGTATTTTCATGCATTCCCTGAAGACCTTGGACTTATTTTCTGAAAAAGTTTTACAGTTTTGGACAAGATGAGATTTGGGATCATATTCTCCCCCTTTTATCACTGTGACAAACTTTCCCAACTAAAGTGACATATCTCCTGTCTTTTAAAGAAAATAATGAAGGAATTCTGCAGTTTTTGTTTTGGTCCTAATCCAATATTTAATGACTATCTGTCCATCTCTTGAACTGCTCGCCTTGCAGTTTCACGGCATTTCCCTTTTTTTGTTGTCATCTGAAACAAAAGATTAGTTTTTAGCCTCCCCGTAATTGTCACCGTGCAGCTTTACTGACACTAAATAATACATAACTCACTGGGCTTTAGCTAATATTCTAATTATATCTGGGTACATACACTCTTCTGAACCCATATTTTCCAGAGGTTTTGCTTTGTTATAAATATGACACATGGGACAAAATATTTTTAAGTTGCTAGAATGAGAATATTTTGTAGCTTTTACTTCCCCTTAGAACCCCTGAGAAGGAAGAGGATTTCTTTGTTGGTCTGGCAGGAATTTTGTGTGTGTGCAGTTAAAAAAAATGTATATATATGTGTATATATATGTAATACTAAACTTACTATCTTAATGATTTTTAAACACACAACCCACTACTGTTAAGTATATTTATACTATCGTGCAGTAGATCTCTGGAACTTTTTCATCATGCAAAACTGAAACTCTGTCATCACTAAACGCTAATTCCCTTTCCCTGCCCTTGGCAATTACTTTCCTATTTTATGTGATTTTCACTAATGTAGATCACTCATTTGAGTGAACTGGTACTGTATTTCGTCCTTTTAGACTGGCTTTTTTCCATTTAGCTTAGTATTGTCAAGGTTGCTGCATCTTATAGCATGTGACAGGACCGCCTTCTTTCTAAAGCTGAGTAATGTTCCATTGTATGTGTATATCCCTCACATATTCTTTATCCATGTATCTGTCAGTGGACATCTGAGTTGCTTCCAGCTCTTGGCTGTTATGAATAAGGCTGCACTGAGCATGGCTGTGCAAATGTATTTTGGAGATCTGGCAGAATTTTTTTATGACTTAAATAGGTGTTATCTATTAGCATTCTATTTCACTAAATCTAACATAAATCATTTTATATTTTACTAGCAACCTTTCCACACTGAAGCCTCCCATTTCAAAACACTAACCCTGCTTTCATCTTCAGTGCCCTGGTGGCCCTACTATGACCAGATTTGAGTGTACATGCAGCCCCCAGCTTTGGGGTTCAACTTCAGATTTGTAGACTTTGCAGTGGTGCAAAGCCATGGGAGCTCAGCAGAAACTGCACTTCACATTTTGGTCTTTTCCCGGGCAAGCACTATGTTGCCAGGCAGTGGCCGTGAGCTGCAGCTCCCGGTCAGCCACACCATCACAAGAGTCAACAACCGATACACTTACAACCCTTGTATACCCATACAGGCATTCTCTTTTTCACTGTGGATATGGTATTCAGTAAATTACATGAGATATTTAGCACGTTGTTATAAAATATGCTTTGTGATAGATGAGTTTGCCCAACTAGAGGCTAATGTATGTGTTCTGAGCATGTTTAAGGTTGGCTAGGCTAAACTATGGGATATGGGAGATTAGGTATATTAAATGCCATTTTCAACTTAAATATTTTCTTTTGTTTTTAATGTTTATTTTTGAGAGAGAGAGAGAGACACAGAGTGTGGGGCGGGGGGCGGAGGGGGGGGGGACAGAGAGAGAGTGGGGCACAGAATCCAAAGCAGGCTCCGGGATCCAAGCTGTCAGCACAGAGCCCAGTGCCGGTCTCAAATCATGAACCGAGAGATCATGACCTGAGCAGAAGTCAAACGCCCAACCGACTGAGCCACCCTGGCACCCCTCCACTTACGATATTTTCAACCTATGATGGGTTTATAAGGACATAACCCCATTGTATATTGAGGAAGATCTGTAATCTTGTTCTAGTTCTTCCTTTACATGATCTTTTTCCTATTCATTTTGAGCTTTCTACTTTCTGTCTCTGTTTCCTCTTCCTCCTTTGTTGGTATCTTAGCTTGTTATTTATATATAGAAGTAGAAAAGCATAAATAATATATACGTTTGTCTGGTACCATCTATCACTGATTACCACCATCTTCTCTTTATCTGAATCCCAACCCTGGTTAAATGCAGCCCACCTGAACCTTGCTGGCTAACATGAAGACTACTGGGTACAGACACACAGTTGGGTTGATTGGTCTCACTTCACATTCATGACCACAAACCTCAAGTGGGCCCATGTGCTGCTACCAGTCCTGCTATATTTCCTTAGTGTGGTGGATCTCAGAGCATGGCTCCCCGACCAGTAGCATCTACATCACTCAAAAACTCGTTAGAATTGCATATTCTTGACCTCACCGCAGACCTTGTGATTCCAAAACTCTGGGCATGAAAGCCAGCACAGCTGTATGATTCTGATGCTGAAGTTTGACAACCATTGCCTCAGTCAATTCATTCTGTTCTTTCAAAGTACTTTTTCACACCTTCCCTCTTCTCCAATTGCTAACAACCCCCTCTCCTTACCCACTCCCGCCTGATGATCACTTTTATTTCAAAGTAAATAGAAAACAGAAGTACAGTACTCAGAAGAGAACTTCCTCATCTTCCTACATCCCCAACTGCTTGCATCTACAGGTGCTCCCGGACCCTGGCTTCTTCACTGGTGCAGAGGCCAACCCCTCTCCCCACTTGCACACTACATCCCATCCCTTCTTTCTCCTGCGGTCATTTTTTCCTCTCCACAGGACCATTCCCGGCAGCACACAAATGTCTCTCTGTCAAAGACCAAACAAAAATAAACAAACCTCCCTGAAAAATCTGCTACTGCTACAGAGCCGGCTATCAGATATATCGTTATGTGGAACTTTCGAATATTTATATGTATTTTCTTGTTTTCAAAAAAGATAACCATGGAAGGATAAACGAAAGCCTAGTACAAGTACTTAACAAAAGAGGAGGGAGAGATTAAGGGAAAAGGGAAGGTACAAAAGCTAGACTTCTCTGAATGGAATTTTTGTTTACAGTTTTGATTTTGGAACCATGTATGTGTTTTATATAATTAAAACACCAAATCAAGTCAAAATGTAATTCAAACAAATTGGCCTCATCAAGTAACACACTGAAAGCATAGCCATGAGATGGGGCGCCTGGGTGTCTCAGTCGGTTAAGCATCCGACTTCGGCTCAGGTCATGATCTCAAGGCTTGTGGGTTCAAGTCTCATTTTGGGCTCTGTGCTGACAGCTCAGAGCCTGGAGCCTGCTTCGGATTCTGTGTCTCCTTTTCTCTCTGTCCCTCCCCCATTGTGCTCTGTCTGTCTCTGTCTCTCAAAAATAAATAAATGTAAAAAAAAAAATTAAAAAAAAAACATAACCACGAGGAGAATTCGTTTAAGTGACTTTAAAATTGAGAGGCGCCTGGGTGGCTCAGTCAGTTAAGCATCCGACTTTGGCTCAGCTCATGATCTCACAGTTCGTGGGTTCAAGCCCCATGTCGGGCTCTGTGCTGACAGCTAGCTCAGAGCCTGGAGCCTGTTTCAGGTTCTGTGTCTCCCTCTCTCTCTGACCCTCCGCTGCTCATTCCTTCTCTCTCTCTCTCTCTCTCTCTCTCTCTCTCAGAAATAAATAAAACATTAAAAATTTTTTAATAAAAAATTTTAACTCAGGTTGGGGAGTGCCAGGTGGCTCAGTAGGTTGAACGTCTGACTCTTGATTTTGACTCCAGTCATGATCTCACTGTTCATGAGATTGAATCCTGCATGGGGTTCTGTGCTAACAGCATAGAGCCTGCTTGGGATTCTCTCTCTCTCTCTCTCTCTCTCTCTCTCTCTCCCTCTCTCTCTCTCTCTCTCTCTCTGCCCCTCCCCTGCTAGGTCTCTTGTGCTCCCTACCTCCAAAAGAATAAATATTTTTAAAAAATAAAATAAAATAAAATAGGATGGGGTGGTTTTTTTTTTTTTACATGATTTTAGACTTAGAGAAAAGTTATAATAGTAATGCAAAGGATTCCCTTTAACTTTCACTCAGATTCCCCATGTTAACATTTTTCTGTATTTGTTTTGTCTTTCTTAGTATTTCACTCTTCTTCTTTTGAAATTTCTTATTTCATCTATATAGTTTCTAAAAATAAGAAATTCTCTAGCCACAGTAAAATGATCAAAATCATGGAATTTATGTTGAAAGGGTATTATTATGCAATCTACAGACTTTGTCCCAATTTCATCAAGCCATTCTAATGTCCTTTATGGCAAAAATACAAACAAGATTATATATCACATTTTATCTGTTAAATCTCTTCTGTCTCCTTTGATCCCTTTGATCTGAAACAATATCTGAAGAATATAGGCACAGCACTTTCTAGAATGCCCCTTAGTTTGGGTCAGTCTGATATTTCCTCATGATTCAACACAGGATCTTTGGCACAAATACCACAGCCGTGTTGCTGAGTATTTGTCAGTGAAGGAAGCACATGCTCTTAATTAGTCCCACTACTATCAATAGTAACTTTGAAACTTTTTTTTTAAGTTTGTTTATTTAGAGAGAGAGAACTCAAGGGAGGCACAGAGGGGGGGGGGGGAGAGAGAGAATCCCAAGCAGGCACTGAACTGTCAGCACAGAACCCAACGTGGGGTTTGAACCCACAAACCATGAGATCATGACCTGAACCAGAGTCAAGAGTCAGACACCCAACCGACTGAGCCACCCAGGTGCCCCAATAGTAATTTTGATAATAGTATCTTCCAGGTTTGTCCCTTGTAAAATTACTCTTTTACCTTTTGTAGTTAATAAAGTATCCCGTTGGGAGCTGCTCTGAGATTGTATGAATATTCTGTCACTCTTCAAACTTTTGCCCACTAGTAACTGCCTTTCGATGGTTCTTGCTTTTAATCTCATGCTGGAATTTCCTCTACATTTATTAATTGGTTTTCTACTTACATGAGAGTTTTTCCTTCTCTCTATTCATTTACTTATTTACTTACATCAGCAGAGACTCATGAATTCTTACTTTATTCAATAGTGAAACAGTATTTTGACTGGGCATCCCAGGTAGTATATGACATAAGGACAAAAAGAACCACAAAGAAATCTTGAATAGCATATGGTGGTTTTGTTGTTACAGGTAATGTAGGTACTTTTATACACACACCCTAGGGAATAAAGCAGATGAGTAATTTATGTTAATGTCATTAGGTACCAACGTTACTAGACAAAATCAAAGAAATTGAGTTAAAACCCTATTTTTAAAAACCCTGTATGTCAGTATGAATTGATATATTTTTCTTCTAAAAAATACAGATTTATTTTTTAGCTTTGTCCACTGAAAAGTCAAAGCAGGGATAACCCAGAAGTAATAATATACCTAATACCCATATTGTGAATTTAAATACCATTTCCCACTACACAGAAATGAGGCTCCTTGGAGAAATGACTGGTTCCAGATCTGAGTCAAGAAATGAACAAGACAAACCTCAAACATCTTGTACCTGAAAGCAACAGTTCTTAGACTTTTAGAGTCTTACAAAAGGGCAGAAGACCTGACTTAAAGAAGTTCCTGCTGGCTAAAAATGGGACAATTTGAGTATCAAAATGAATAACGACTGTAATTGATTAAAATGCATCAAATATATAAAAACCATAATTCATAACAATACAAAAAAAAAAACCTTCATTGAACACCTTTGAAGTTGCCTGGCATCCAACCTGTTATTCTGGAAATCATTTGTAGCAGCTTTATTCATAATATCCCCAAGCTAGAAACAGCCCAGATGTCCACCAACAGGAGAATGGGCAGACTGTGATATATTCATACAAGGATATTTACTCCATCATAAAAGAAAGGAACCACTGGTCACAACAAAATGGATGACTCCAGAAACATGCTGAGTGAGAGAAGCCGTACATGAAAGAGTCCGTACTATATGGCTTTGTGTATAACACGCAGTTCCTAGTACAAGCAAAACAAACTTGCAGTGAAAAATACCAGAACAGTGGTTTGCCTCCAGGACATAGCAGCAGAGATTAAATGGAAAGGTGATGAGGAAGGTTTCTGGGATGATGATAACGTCTTGATAGAGAGGTGGGTTACACAGTTCTGTGCAAGTTGTCGAAACTCTTTAATGGTACGCTTAAGAGTTGTGCTTTTTCCAGCATGTAAATTTTACCTTAAACATCGTTTTAAACATTAAACTCGAATGGCATGTGTGCTGAATTTTAGTGAAAACCTGGATTGGTGGTTGGGTGAGTAGATAGATACTTGATAAAGCAAATGTGGCAAAATGTTCACTGTAGAATCTATGTGGCAAGTATATGGCTATTTACTGTACAGTTCCTTCCATTTTCTCTGTGCTCGATAGTCTTCATAACAAAACTTTGGGGGGAAGCTTCCATTTTGGAACCCCTAATAATGGAACTAGGCATTATTGGCTGCTAAAATCATTGAAAGAAAAGTCAATGGTGAACTTTGTAATGGTGGATCTAGGCAAACAACACCCAAACCCAGAGGCCAAACCTGTTGCTAAAAGTAGGACCACCAGACATTATGTTCTTCCTGATGTGTTAAAAAAAACTAAAGTATTAGTGCAAAAAACCTAAAATTGAATGTGAGTCTAGTCAAGCTCCTAAGTCTAACTACCAATTTACAGAGAACACAGGAATATATTAAATGACACCATGTAGGTATTAATTAGCCAAGTCCAGATTCTAGGAGATTCCATGAGGGAATTTACCTAGTATCTTAATGAATCATGGCATGAACATTTTTTTTTAAAAAGGTAAGAGGGGGATATGGTATAGAGCCAGAGGAACTTAAGACCTATAACCATCAAATGCAATGTATGGACCTTAAAAACCAGGGGCACCTGGGTGGCTCAGTCGGTTGAGCGTCCGACTTCAGCTCAGGTCATGATCTCGGGGTTTATGGATTCGAGCCCTGCGTTGGGCTCTGTGCTGACAATTCAGAGCCTGGAGCTTGCTTGAGGTTCTCTGTCTCCCTCTTCTCTCTCTGCCCCCCCCCTCCAAAAATAAATAAACATTAAAAAAAATTTTTAAATAAAAAAAGTCATGAAATCTGGCCCTTCTTAATTAGGGATGAAATGAATAAAGAAAAGCAAGAGAATAGTGGGAGGGCAGACAAAGAAAGAGCCATCAGCATCCCCTAAGAACCAAGATACAGTGGCTCTGTAGGTAACGTTGGAGGTTTCAAGAAACATTTTGGGGTGCCTGGGTGACTCAGTTGATTAAATGTCCAACTTGTGATTTTGGCTCAGGTCATGATCTCATAGTTCATGGGATCTGGCCCTTTATCAGGCTCTGCACTGTAATCTACTTGGGATTCTCTCTCTCCCTCTCTCTGCCCCTCCCCTGCACACATGTGCACATGTGCTCGCTCGCTAGCTCACTCTTTCTCTCTCGCTCTCTCAGAATAAATAAATAAACATTTAAAAAGCATTTTTCCTCAGGGACGCCTGGGTGTGTTAGACTCTTGGTTTCGGCTCCGGTCATGAATCTCACGATTCTTGAGTTCAAGTCCCACATTGGGAGGACACAGAGCCTGCTTGGGATTCTCTCTCTCTCTCTCTCTCTCCCTCTCTCTCTGTCCCTTCCCCACTCACACTGTTTCTGTCTCTCTCAAAGAAACTTTTAAAAAAAGCAACAAAAAAATTTTTCCTTAAACAAATGTAGACCATCACTCAAAGGAAGAGAATATCACATGAAAAGGTAGACAATATGTCTGCCTTACTTGAACACGCTTGCTTCCTCAGTAATTCTTAGCATTGTACCCTAATCTTAGAAGCAAATAATCCCTGAAAAACATTGGATAAAACAGGTAAGTCTTTGGAGAAACCAGCCAGAGATGGGACTAGAATAAATAAGCATCCAAAATAATTCCAGGAGTTTTTAATGTATTATTATATGGTCATGTGATTTGATTGTGTGTAAACTGAATTGTTCATCTTCAGCTAATCCTTATCTTTGGTTTGTTTGTTTTTCTTTCCAGCCCCACTGTGTTCTCCTCGCCTCAAAGGAAAACTCAGCACCTGTTAAACTTGGGGGCTTTGGGGTAGCTATTCAGTTAGGGGAGTCTGGACTTGTAGCTGGAGGTAAGAACACGTTTTTAAAAACTTCCTTCAAAATCTGGTCACTTTCAGGCTAGTGTAACTCTTTCAAACTAAATATCAGCCCATCCTCGGTGTTTCATACCCATTCCACACCCTCCCCCCAAAAAGTGCCATCATATGGTTTTGAACCTTAAGAATAGACTGTGCTTTTTACTCTTTGTATTCCCACTGCTTGGCAGAGAAGTGACCCTACATACAGAGATTAAAACATTGTTGGAATAAGGTGATATCTGGGGGCAAAGTGACTTCTAAAGTTGTACTGGCCAGGGGCACATGGCTGGCTTAGTAGAGCACATGACTCCTGATCTTAGGGTCAAGAGTTCAAGTCCCACATTGGGCATAGAGCTTACTTTAAAAATAAAATAAATAAAGTTGAACTGGCCAAGTGAAGTCCATTCTAAAACATGTGGATTAACCACTTTCAGGTTTACATCAAAGGCCAATGTTTAATTTCATACTGTTTGCCTCTTTTTATTTATGAAAGAGTCCTGCTCAAGCTATCAATCTGTGTATTTGGGAAGAGTGAGCAGATGTGAATGCAGACTGACTTTATTATTAGCCAAAGCAAAACACAATTAGAAAATTCCCATGCCAGAAAAAAAAATAGCAGAAAGGTTAAAAATAGACATTCTCTCCACTACTGTACAGAGGTGGATGCTAATTCCAGATTCAAGAATTTGGGTTTTTATTTATTCCTTTCAGTAGACTTTAGCACTGAATGCTGCCCTGTTTTTAGTTCTGTCCCTTGGTTTTGCAAATGACGTAGTTCTCCGTTCTACAAATTATCAATCTTGTAATCATTGCCTTTGATTTGCTGTCTCCTGATACTGCCAGCCTTCACAAAGAGGAAAAATATGAAAAAAAATATCAGCAGAACGTTTTTGAACCTATCATCTTTCATGAATGCTTATATTAAATTCAAATACCTGACAAATGATAAATATCAAAACAATTTGTTACACAGGATATATCATTTAATTTCATACACCATCACTAACACATCGAAGCAGCATTAACAGTCCATCTTTTGAAAAATGAGCCAGGAGTCATAGTTGTATTCTTTAAATTGTTATTTCATCACATTGCTCTCTAAAATTAAATTGTGTCCCTTAAAGGAGGAGGGCGCCTGGGTGGCTCATTCAGTTAAGCATCGACTCTTGATTCCAGCTCAGGTCATGATCTCACAGCTTGTGAATTCAGGCCCCGCATTGGGCTCTATGCTGACAGCTCAGAGCCTGGAGCCTGCTTTGGATTCTGTGCCTCCCCCTCTCTCTGCCCCTTCCTCCCTCCCTCCCTTCCTCCCTCCCTCCCTCTATCTCTCTCTCTCTCTCAAAAATAATTAAACATTCAAAATAAAATTAGGTTTATGGGGCACCTGGATGTCTCAGTCAGCTAAGCGTCCTACTCTCGATCTCAGCTCAGGTCTTCATCTCGGGGCCATGAGTTCAAGCACCATGTTGGGCTCCACACTGAGCATGGATTCTACATACAAAAATAAATAAAAATAAATTTTAAAATTAAATTAAATTATGTTTAGATTTTCTTCTACTTTTACATTCTCTTCCAGCTAATTATTTCCAACAATGTGAAAAATTGCAGCAAGTATAATTTTAAAAACTGATTCAAAACTTACATCTGTGATTAGAAGGACTGACCTTAGGATCAGATAGGAATACATCATTTAATTGTAGAATCATTGAATCTCAGAATGCCAAGTGGTCTCAACTTCTCCAGTCTGGTAACCAGTGATTGCCTTCTCTCATAAAATTCCCAGCAAAAGGTTCAGCTCTAGTTTAATTCCTCAGCTGGCAAAGAATTCACTATGATCTGGGACCATATTTCCATTTTTGGAAAGCTTAAGTACTGAAACATTCATCTTTGCATAGAAGAGAAATCCATTCCATCATTTCCACCCAGTACTGCTACTTCTTACTTGTGGAGCCACACACAACAATTTTAATCCTTCCACATGATAGCCATTCACATGTTTAAAGACTGATCGTGTGCCCCTAAGTCTGATCCAGATTAACTTGCCTACATTAATTTAGCCATTTTTCATATAAGAATCTCCTTGCTGGGGCGCCTGGGTGGCTTAGTTGGTTAAGCGGCCGACTTTCGCTCAGGTCATGATCTCGCGGTTCGTGGGTTCCAGCCCCGCGTCGGGCTCTGTGCTGACTGCCAGCTCAGAGCCTGGAGCCTGTTTCAGTCTGTGACTCCCTCTTTCTCTGACCCTCCCCTGCTCACGCTGTCTCTCTCTCTCTCTCTCTCTCTCTCCTAGAAATAAATAAAAATATTAAAAAAAAAAAAAAGAATCTCCTTGCTGTGCGCAAAGGCTGGAGCCAAGGCTGAGCACAATGACAGGTGCAGTCCAGCGCACAGGGGCTTGGGCTGTCGCTTTTGCTGTGGGTCTTACATTTCTGTCAGGCTCCCCAAATTGCATTAGCCATGTTACACCTCTGGCTCGTATTGATCTTGCTATCAGCTACAATTCCCAAGTTGTTTTTAAACAATTGTTGCTGTTAAACTACCTCTCTTAAGTCTGGTATTTGTACAGATCACCCCTATGTAAAGACTACATAGTTACAACAAATAAGTTCTGATGATTGCATCCTCAAGATGGATGGGATGAAATGAAATGACACAAAGTCCTTTTATATGTTCTATACTGACGACATATAATGACTTTGTTTCTCTTTATCTGGATTTGTATCCTGTTAGTATTCAAAGCATCAGCTTCATATTTTACTGTGCATCTTTATTGAAGGGAAAAAACAGATTGATTCCGCTTACATAGACATTTTCTACATGTTAATCTACTTTCTTAAAGTCCATGAGTCTTTCCCCTAAATTGTATATATTTTTTTCTTAATGCTTATTTATATTTGAGAGAGGGAGAAAGAGTGTTAGCAGGGGAAGGGCAAAGAGACAGACACACACAGAATCCAAAGCAGGCTCCAGGCTCTGAGCTGTCAGCACAGAGCCTGACACAGGGTTTGAACCCACAAACCGTGAGATTGTGACCTGAGTCGAAGTCGGACACTTAACCAACTTAACCAACCAGGCACCCCTAAATTGTACATTTTTAAAGCTGATTTTGAACTTACAGTGTGTCAGTTTGCAAAATTTATTTTTCTCAGTGATTCTGGAATTAAAATAGTTTCTGATGGTCAAAATGTCATTTCTTCACATACCTTTCCTTCTAGTCTTGAAATAACTACTTCAAGCATTACAGTGTTTTTAAAAATATAACCTATCTAGACAAAGGATGAATGATCCCTCTTATAGAAAGCTTTCTTACTGTTTAAGGCACTTTTGAAACTATACTACCATTAGCTTGTTTGCTAATACTTAACAGCTATTTCCCTGTCAGTTGGAATCTTTGATTACTCAGTCCTCCAAATAGAAAGGAATTCTCTCCTTTATATGTTCCATAGAGTAGAAAGCAGTTACATGTATTTGCATTTAACCTGGCTGAAATTCTGCCATTTGGAAAACTTATCCAGAAGATAACTAGGAACCTACAGAGTAATTATTTTTCCAGCAAGACATTTCTTGACCTTAATACCTATTCATGGTCTTCTCAAATGAGCTTCTGAGGATACACTGAAATTGTGTGTTTCACAGTTGTGTGTGACACACAAAATTGTGTTTCACTGAAATTGGCATGCTACCATTTTTCATACTTTTATGGATCTGTGTTCCTTCATGCTTTGCACCTGTTACTCCCTGTGGTTGGAATACCTTTTGTCATTTTCTGTATCTACTTAACTCTTACTGCTCCTGAAGCCTGAGAGGCTGAACTGACAATCATCTCCTCTTAAAAGTGGGCTGATCTTCACCATCCCAAGTTAGGTGACCCTATTCCTTCTCTTCCATTTCACCATAACTATCTGGGCTGCATACCTCTAGATCATATTTGATGCAGGGATTCGTAATCATATCAAAGATTGAGCTTTGTGAGGACAAGGGGGATCATAGTTTATCCCTCTGTATGTCCACAGCACCTCCCATTGTGTCTAGGACCTAGCAGGCACTTAGGAAATTGTTACTAAATGAAAGAATCTGGTTGCTAATCAGTTTCTGGTTAATAGTAGATTTTATGCAACAGATGAGGAGAAGGTAAGGCTGGAGTAAGCACAGTAAAAGAAATGAAAGCCTGACAGAAAAAGTATATTGAGCATATACCAAAATGTAGAAAGCACAGCCCCCTTTTAATACTGAAGAACTGAGACGCCTGGGTGGCTCAGTCGGTTAAGTGTCCAACTTCAGCTCAGGTCATGATCTCACGGTTCATGGGTTCGAGCCCCACGTCAGGCTCTATGTTGACTGCCAGCTCAGAGTCTGGAGCCTGTTTCGGATTTTGTATCTCCCTCTCTGACCCTTCCCTATTTGCTCGCTCGCTCGCTCTCAGAAATAAATAAAAACACTAAAAAAAAAATACTGAAAAACTTGGCCCTTGCATACCCGTGAAGTTCCTGAGGGCATTTTCTGTTCTACAGCATAGTTCTTTCATTGATATCCACAGGACAATTCTGAGTCATCAAGAAAAGGTTAAATTATGTGCACCATCTTGTGTAAAAGAAGTCCAAAAATTGTAGAAAGATAACCGTCCAAAACTATTAAAATAATATGGTTTGGGTGTGTAAAGATCTGAGTCCTAAAGTATTGAATGTGTAGCTGTTCAGAATAATTCCTTACCCTGAGCTTCTAGGTAATGAGGTTTTATTATATTATCCCCAAGTCTAACATTTAAATATTTAAATGTATATCTGAAACCTCTCAGATACAGTGACATTTAATTTGGTTTGGTAACTGACCACAAAATTCTAAGAACAGGAAGTCAAAGTCATAAAAATCAAGTGACCACAAAGAAGGAAAAGTCAAATGATCACAAGCAAAGAGTCCGGGAAGGTTGCTGTGTGTCAAGGGTGAACTCTAGTCCTTTCACCTTCTACTGATCTGTACAAAATACTGTAAAAAGTTCACTCAAAATTAAATAAACTTTTTTTTAAAAAAATGAACGAACACTAGGGGTGCCTGGGTGGCTCAGTTACTTAAGCATCTGACTCTTGATTTCAGCTCAGATCATGATCTCATGGTTTGTGGGATCAAGCCCTGCATCAGGCTCTGTGCTGACAAGAGTGGCACCTGCTTGAGATCCTCTCTCTCCCTCTGTCTCTCTGTCTCTCTGTCTCTGTCTCTCTCCTCTCTCAAAATAAAAAAAAAAATAAAAACATTAAAACAGGGGCTCCTGGGTGGCTCAGTTGGTTAACCATCCAACTTCAGCTTAGGTCATGATCTCCCAGCTCTTGAGTTCGAGCCCTGTATCGGGCTTTGTACTGACAGCTCAGAGCGTGGAGCCTGCTACAGATTCTGTGTCTCTCTCTCTGTCCCTCCTCTGCTTGTGTTCTGTGTCTCTTTCTCTGTCTCAAAACTAAAAGAATGAATGCTTATTTTCCAGACTGGAGTAGTCTTTGATCCAGGTAAACAGAGGATCTCCTTTTTGAGTTGCTCAGCCCTTCCTCATGTAGGAAGTGGTAGGAGTCAAGTTGAGTTTCAAAACCTCATCCCAACTATAAGAAGGTGCCTGACTGGAGCCATGGTACTGGTACCCTGATCTCTTGCCCAGCTTTTCCCAGCTCCCGCTATCAGAACCAGGTGAACCATCCAGCAGCCCTGCTCTGTCCAGCCTGTTCATGAAGTAGGAGGCTTAGCTCTCATTCTTTCAGCTTCTCAGTGTTACTAGAGGAAGCAAAATGGGGCAATATGGAATGAAAATCTTCCCTTCCAATCAGTATAGTTTTCACTGGTCTACTGCACATTTTAAGTGAGAATATTTTCATTCTCTGAACCCCCAAGTTAACTTCTTCCATTATATGGGAAGAAAGGGAACTATAATGAGTCACAGCAAAGGAATATCCCCAGTACACAAGCTAGGAGCTACTTTATCCTTTGCCATCCCAGCCTAATTTTGACAGTCACTAACTGGACTTTGTGGTATATTTTCTCTAGCTGAATTAGAAGATTTGTAAGGTCTTTTTTTTTTTTTTTTCTTTAAACCACAGTTCTGATCTGTAGACAAAGTATTGTGCAGTGTTAAAAGTAAAAAATTATCTTGGACTCCATATGATAAGAGAGGAGGGGCACGGGAAGGAGGAAGGAAAGAAGGAGAAGGCCGAGCCTGCACGCAAAAACAGTTGCCAAGGCTGGTGGGCACTTCCCCTCCCAGAATAATTTTCCCTACAGGGCACAGCCTTTCATTCTGCAGTGGAGGACTAGACTCCCTTAGGGATATGGAGTTAAAGATGATTACTAGTGTGCAAATAACTGCTATCAGATTCCTTCCTAAAAGCTAGTTTTGATGGGGGTTGGGGAGAAGACTAGCTTTAAAACTAAATTTAAAGAAGATGTAGGTCAGGGGGGCATCTGGGTGGCTCAGTCTGTTAAGTATCCAACTCCTAAATCTTGGCTCACGTCATGATCTCACAGTTCGTGAGTTCAGGCCCCACATCCAGCTCTGCACTGGTGGTGCAGAGCCTGCTTGGGATTCTCTTTCTCTCCCTCTCTGTCTCTACCCCCCACCCTCTCTCAAAATAAATAAATAAACTTAAAAAAAGAAAGAAGAAGAAGATGATGGAGGCCAAAGAGGATTGAATGTGAGGAGCTTTACGACTTTGCTTTGGTTTATGTCATGCATTTGCTATCATTCTCCCCAAATGTTAACATTCAGAAGCTAAAAAAAATCCGACATAAGGGGCGCCTGGGTGGCTTAGTCGGTTAAGCGTCCGACTTTCGCTTAGGTCATGATCTCGCGGTTCGTGGGTTCGAGCCCCGCATCGGGCTCTGTGCTGACTGCCAGCTCAGAGCCTGGAGCCTGTTTCGGAGTCTGTGTCTCCCTCTCTCTCTGACCCTCCCCTGCTCACGCTGTCTCTCTCTCTCTCCTAGAAATAAATAAAACATTAAAAAAAATTAAAAATCCGACATAAGAAAATGTTATTAAGCATCATGATTTGCTGCAATCGGTTCCTAAAATCAATTGAACAGGATTTCAGATTCAGTCATATTCCAAATCAAAGTTCTCAGCATTAGATTTAATTTGAGATTTTCCATGTGGCAGTCAAAAGTAGCCTTTTTCTCCATGGATGTTTTCTCCTGCCTCCTCCTCTGCCCTCCCTGCCGTGAGATCCTGACCTGAGCCAAAATCAAGAGTAGGTCACTAAACCATCTGAGCCACTCAGGCACCGCTGAGCATGTGACTCTTGATCTTGGGGGTATGATTTCAAGTCCCACACTGGATATAGAGATTACTTAAAAATAAAATCTTTAAAAAAAAAAGAGAGGGAGCACATGGGTGGCTCAGTCAAACATCAAACTTCGGCTCAGGTCATGATCTCACAGTTTGTGGATTCAAGCCTCATGTTGGACTCTGTGCTGACAGCTCAGCCTGAAGACTACTTCAGATCCTGTGTCTCCCTCTCCCTTTCTCTCTCTGCCCCTCCCCACTCACGCTCTGTCCCTCTCTCTCAAAAATAAATAAACATCAAAAAATAATTTTTAATAAAAAATAAATAAAAAGACAAAGTACCTGTCCTGGGCTCAGTATTTTCAAGGGGTGATTGAATAATTATTTTCCTTCTGCTTGTTTTTTTTTTTTTTTTTTTTTTGCCCCTTGATTTTATGGAGGAGGGTGGAGGCGGTAAGAGAATATTTATATTGGTAAACTTTTCCTTGAAACCGTTATTGTTCTGTTTTCAGTTTTCAAATGAGGGGGAAAAATGCCCATTGTATATAAACATTTTTCCTTGTTGTTGTTTTAAACATAGGACGCGTTGGAACACCTCATTTTATGGCCCCAGAAGTTGTCAAAAGAGAGCCTTATGGAAAACCTGTAGATGTCTGGGGTTGTGGCGTGATCCTTTTTATCCTGCTAAGTGGTTGCTTGCCTTTTTATGGAACCAAGGAAAGATTGTTTGAAGGCATTATTAAAGGAAAATATAAGGTAATACATTATGAATGTTTTTTTCCCATTGAGATTAAATTATTCTGAAAAAATGTGAAGTTGTCTGTCTTTGGACTTCCTGATTGTCACATAGTTACCCAGTCAGAGAAAAGTTCTTTGCTGACATCATTGATCCATTTGCCTTGTTAGACGATATAAGCCTCAAGTAAATTTCTGAATCACTATCAGCTGCACTGTCATCTAGGCGGAAGGGAGGAGACTGGCTTTAAAACAACCACGGCCTTGCCCCTCTATTCCCCTCTCCTTGGTGCTGCAGCTGAAGTGTATCCCACGTGTTTGGAACCCGACCCCATGTTTAGCCTAGAAAACAGGGACCCTAGTCCTCTTTGATACAGAATCCAGTATGTGCAAGTCAAAAGTTTAGGAGTCTTGGGCCCTCAGATTCACAAAACCAATGCTTTTCTCACAAATCCATTCTAGCAAAACTGCCCATTTAGTTGGTCAGAGAAATCATTTGGTTAGTGTCCTACATATTTCAAATAAAATTCTAGTTTAGGGAAAGAATTTGGAATGACCCTTGAAATTTACTGGGATAGAATTTGACCATTTTATTTTACCTCAGGTGAGGTGTTTGCGACAGACGTGAGCCCAGATTTTAAAAGTATCCACTCTGCATGGTGCCCAGACCGCCTCTTCAGGCTAATCTTGGAAAATAAACTTCTTGGCCCCTTCTTTCTATAATTTGGAGAAAGGGCTTCATTTTTAAATCTTTTTGCTCAGTTTGTAAAGTGAAAATGGAAATTTCATCCCGATGATTTAGTAATTCTTTACTTTATGTTTTATATGAGCCTTTACTTGTTTTACTTTACCACACATGTTGTTCCACGTTATGTAGTCAACTAGCACACCGAAACCCTACGTCCCGGGATAAACCGCAATGCCGGTATCACGACTGCAACTCACAACATAACTTAGAGCCATTTTGGCGGGACTTAAACATTCATATTCTTCTTAGAGTGTTCTGGATTGGAAACCACATACATTGTTTGCAGAGTTCTGATTAGCGTGTTATTACTTGCATTATTAAAAAATTAAAAACTGCATCACTGACATTGTGAATGGCTCTACCAAACAGAGCTAAGGAGTGCTTGAAAGGTAATAAGCCAAAGGATGGTCTTGCTTGCTGTCCCAGCTCTTCCATTTGCCCTCTCCCATCGTGTGTGGCTGACAGAGTCAGCTGCTGTGTGTGGGAAACATGGGGGAGTGTGTGTCTGGATACCAGATCAGGGCGGCTTATGTTGGGGAAGTTCGTTTTCCGCCTCATACTACTGAAACCTGTACTTTCTATTTAACAGAAGCACTGTTTCATTTTCAGCCATGCCTGGTAACGTAAAACCAAACACACGAGTTTGTATAGCGCCAGACTCCAAAACTGTGAGGCCTGTTTTCATTTCCTCAGTAATGTTAGAGTTTTATAAAGGACTTCAAGGAAGAGGGCGGGGGGAAGAAATGAAAGGTAAAGTAGCTTCAGGGTGGCAGCCTTGTCTTTTTTTAATGTTTTACTTATTTTTGAGAGAGCAAGAGAGCGCACGCAAGCAGGGGAGGGGCAGAGAGAGAGAGAGGGGCGACAGGATTCGAAGCGGGCTCTGTGCTGACAGCAGCGAGCCCACAGCCTTGTCCTTTTAAACATTAAATGAAGCCTGTAGAGGTGAGAATGAGTTATGCTTTTAATTTTTAGCCTTGTGCATCATCCGCTTATAAGGGCATGCAGGTTTGCCTCTTATTTTATTTGGATTAAGGTCTATGCCAAAACTCTGTTAACAGAGAAGGATGTTTTAAGTATAGGTTTTGTTCTGCTTCTCTTAGAGTCAGTTGGCCACTGGGGAATAAAATCAATCCTTCCAAGGTAACTAAATGTCTCAGGAAGCTGCTTGTAAGTAATCATCCCCCTCCAATCCCTGGAAATTGTGAGTGGCTGTCGGGAATGCATGCCCATGGCTTTTTCACTGAATTTTGCCAAGGGAAATCACAGGTACTTAACATATGAAAATAAACACAATTAGCAATGCATCAGCTTAATAATAATACTAGAAGTAACAATAGCTAACTCACACATAACACTTAGTATGTGCCTGGAACTATGCTAAGCACTCCTATTAACTCATTTTATCCTCACAGCGACTTATGACATAGATACCGTATAATAAAATCTCCCACCTGCCTTTTGGAGTTATAAACATTCACTAATAATAGAATTCTTCCTTTGTGCTAGTTTAGTTGCTAACTTCCTGGTTTCCAAGGCAATGTGCTTCATTCCAGCCGACTCTGGTATTTGATTTTCTCTATTTTTAAAGCATTGAATAGGTTTTTTTTGTTTCTTTGTAAGAAATGTGGACTGTTTACACATGCCAAAAGTTAAATTATTTTAAGACCTCCATTCTTAGTATTATAGTAAGTCAGAATGGCGTGACAGCTATATCATAATTTCTGTACCTGGCGGTTTGAAGCTTTGATGTTAGTAACTTATTTACTCTTTTACTTGACTAACCTCACTTCTCACTTACATTAAGGGCTCTTTTTTTTTTTTTTTTTATACAAAAGCCCCACATTTTCCGCAGCTTTGTTTGAAGTAGAGATCCATCTCTACCATCAATGATAAACCCGGTGGGCCTTTCATATATATGTATATATGTATATTGTGCTATGATTCTGTCAGCATTTATTTTTACATTTTTTTAATTATTGAAAATTTCAAACAAAAGTAGTAGCAATAACAGTACAGTGAAACCCCAGCTCCACCACTTAGCAGCATATAGCCAACCTGGTTTTATCTGTATTCCACATACTAGCTGATTATTTTGAAGCAAACCTCAAAAAGAGAGTCTCATCACCCTGGTGGCTCTTAACAAAAGAACTCTGAACAAAACCCTTGAGCTCTGGGGGTGTTTTTCAATGAAATTTTGATGGTCTCTTTTAAAAACTTTCATAGTTTATAAACTGCTACTGGCCTTAAGTGATTTTAGTTGAGCTTACTTGATCTTTTAAGGTAAATGTGTGAGAATACCACTTAACTGGGATATATGCTGACATTTAATTTCAGCTAACTTTTTTATAAAAGACGAAAATATGTTTCCCTAAGTATGAAAAGATGCAGGCTGTCATTGTCTATCATCATGGATAGCCAGTGGATACTTCCACAGCCGAAGTCGAGGTGGCCATGGCTTTAGTTTTCAAATAAGCGAGACTGTTCTGTAGCCCTGTTTTGTTCCCTTTATAAACTCAACCTCCCAGATTAATTTCAGCTACTCTTCTCAGCCAAAGGAAGAGAGAAACCCTGGATTGGACTCTCTCATAAACAGGATGTGGGGGGAGGGACATCTACTTCTCAACCTCTACTCACTTGAGAAATCTTACCACCAGTTGCAGATGACTTCTCAACCCTTTTCCCCGAGGACAGATCATTCCGACCTTAAAGAGCACATCAGCCCTAGGATGGGGAAGAGGGAACAAGGCTAAGCCTCATCCAATCCCCTACATTATTTCAAACTGACCAGTTGATGACAATTTCAGTAGGATGGCAACAAGATGGCAGTCACTTTAGTTAAAAGATCTGACAAGCAGAAGTGACAATTGGTTGGAATTCTGCCTGTTAGAAAAAGAACAAGGAACATTTTTCACTTCCCATCCACCAGTACAGAGCCTCACAGTAGCCAGAGCGAATTTCAGTGTCTAATGCTAACCCTTGGCCACACTGTAGTGATTCCTTTGAACCGTGATGCAAGTCATGATTTCATTTGGCTTTAAACTGTTAGAGACTTTATTCTCCATCTTTCTCCCTTAAAAGGTGACCTAGGTCTCCCCTTTTTCAACCCATGGCATTGCTAGTTCCTGGCACCAGGCAGCTAATGCAAACTCCTCCAGCCATTTGGCTTCTTGATATTAAATAAGGAGTAAGACCCCACTGGCCTCACCCTGGCTGTCCCACTTGCCTTCCCAGTGGCAAGCCCAAAGCGTCCCTTCCCTTTTTCTGCTTCCTGGTCTCAGACATATTCTTCTTCCCCGGGAGCTACCTTGCTCTTTTCCTCACAGATCCACTTTCTCCCAAGTCCTGTATCTTTTGATCAACTCATAGATTTGTCCATTTGTTTGACTTTAGTCAGTTGACCTTGTGGCTGAGTTGTCTCATCTCTACAAGAGGGCCAAAAGTAACTTCACTGAGGACAGTATACAAGCGAATGGGTTATTCTGTAGGACCGATGGTAGCAGTATATGTTTTCTGAAATTCTGAAATTGCTATACAGTGACCAAAATATCCTACTAGGAACTTTGCATAACTTCACAATCTCTGTGGATTCCAGTTTTTCAAAAGAGAACGTTTTAAAATTTCTTTAAAAATTTCATTTTAGTCCTTTCTAGATGAAAGTATCTACTCTCTTTAGCTAGGGTAGAAACTGCAGCCATGAGCATTCTGTTCTTCCACTATTAAAAATATTATAACTTATGTGACATCAAGAACATATGTAAGGAATATTTATTGATACAAAACCTCATATGTGTGACAACAGCCACCAAAGACTTGCCTTTGTCCTCTTCCTTAGAGAGCAAGCCCATAGAATCACATTTCTGTTCTTTGAGAATTTTATTCACATTGAAACACTGTAGGAACATTACATCATGGTGAATGTTACCTTCTCACTGGGCAATAACTGTGGAATTTTCCTTTCCTTCTCTTCAGATGAATCCAAGGCAGTGGAGCCATATCTCTGAAAGTGCCAAAGACCTAGTCCGTCGCATGTTGATGCTGGATCCAGCTGAAAGGATCACCGTGTATGAAGCACTGAATCACCCATGGCTTAAGGTACCTGAGCTCATAGGTGGCCATCTATACTTTGTGTGAACCCTTCCAGCAAAAGGAATGTATTGGTCCATAGGGCCACTCTTCGCATGTTTTTTCTGAGTGCCCCCCCCTTTTTTTTCTTTAGTTTTGTTCATCTTGTTTGCTGCTTTTACACAGCCTCTGTAAATATCTGAATAGAGGACTATACCACTGTAGTGACGTTCAGCTATCAGGGAACAGAGGCAGATTTAGACACAACGTACCATGGAGGAAGGTCTGTTGGTTCTCCGCCAACACAGGTTCCAAAGATGTGCAGCACAAACGAGTGAAGTAGTATAACCAAAAGTTACAGTCTTTACTTTGGGCTGACCGTGTGGTTCATAACATTATTTTTATTTCAAGAGATGCTAGATATGGATTGACTGTTCTAGGAAAATGCGAGCTTTTTAAAAAATTTTTATTTATTTATTTTGAGAGAGAGAATCCTCCCCACTGTCAACACAGAGCCTGATGTGGGGTTCGATCCCAGGAACAGTGAGATCACAACCTGGGTCACACGCTTAGCCAGCTGAGCCATCCAGGTGCCCTGGAAGAAGCTCAATTTTTTTCAATTCTTTATCTATCCTATCTCACAGATTCATATTAAGGAAACTTGTAATTTGGGACTTCAGCGCAACAGCACTATTTAATTAAGACATTATATGGTTCAGTAATTCCAGAAAACTCTCAATGTACAGGTGAGAAAACAAAGGCTCACAGAGGTTTGAGAATCTTGACCCAAGTCACAGTTGTCAGTGGCGGAACCAGGATTTTAACTGAGCCTACCAACGACGCTTTCCTTTGTGTGCGAGGTCCTCTCTCTTTCACTTACTCAAGGACATCACTCCAGCAATCTCCTCATTCCTGCATCATTGCTTTTCTGTCTCTGTTGAACCTAATATGCTACTGTTTATTTTTATTACACACACACACACCTCCTGACCCTACAGCCACCTCCAGCTTCTACTACTGCTCTTGTCAAGTCAGTAATGACCTTCACATTGCTGAAGTCAAATCTCAGGCCTTCTTCCTTTTGGCATCTCAGTACCATTTGACACCCACCCTGAAACGCTGTCCTCCGTTGGCCTCATGCCTCCTGGCTCTCCTGGTTTCCCTTATCCCTTTCTGGCTGTGCCTTCTCAGATCGTACTGATTCCTCCTCATCTCCCCACACACACCTCTTCACGTTGGGGTGCTGCAGGCCTCCATCCTTGCTCCTCTATTTCCCTGTCTCCACTCAGGCCTTTGGAGACCTCATCTAGTTTTAATGGCCTTAAATGCCCTTTGTACCCTGATGAGTCCAGAATTTATACCTTAAGACCAGGCCTCTCCCTGGAGGGATTCTTTCTTAATCCAGAGTGTACACTCTCGCTCCCTGACACCTCTCTTATTTCACCCCCTACTACTCTCCTCTTACTCTGTTCCCTGCATATTGGCCTCACTGCAGTGCTGAGGCAGCAGGCACATCCTGGCTTCAGTGCCTCTATGTTAGTCCTCTTCTTTCCTCGGAGCTCTCTTCCCCAAACATAGTCATGGTTTCTTCCTTTACCACCTTCAAGTCTTGGCTTAGTAAGAGCTTTCCAGTTCACTCAGTCTAAAATTACGGGGAAGAACGCCCCCTGCCACCAGTATTCCCTGTCACCCCTTCCCTGCCTTAGTGTTCTCCATAGCATTTGTCACAATAAGACACACCTATATTGTGTTTGTAGCCTATTTACCCCCTTTAAAAAAACAAGCTGCAGAAGAGTGGGAATTTGGAGTTGATAGTTCACTTCCATCCAGCACTCTACAAAGTGTGTGGCATAGACTAAGTGCTCAATAAATATTAGTTATGATTTAATGAATGAACGAAGGAATGTTCGTTATATGATACCATGCTACTTCCCCAGAGATTATGCAGAAACAATAAGATATATTAAAATGTAGATTAATAATGGATCTTAGTGACAGTGACACAGAATGATGAAATTAAACAACAGTTTTGAGATTCCAGTGGATCTTGAGTCTCCATAAGAATATTATCAAATCTGCATTCAACCCTCTGATGTGCAATTCTAGTTATTCTTGACTTGAAACACTCAGTTCTAGCTATTCATGATTTCCCCCAGAAGAGAGTAGGCAAACAGTTCTTAGATATATTCTTAATAATTTCCCCCCAGAAATGACCGGTGTGGGTGGGGTCCCCTTTCTCCTTTGCCTTTCTCAGTTTCTCTGTAATGCGGATCGTTTGTTCATTAGAAGCTAGTTCAAATGCCAAAGTACAATGAAAATGGTAGTCATATTAGTCATTTTTACGATCCTTTAGAAAAGTTAGCTTTCATTATCATACTTATCTTGACTACTAACATTTATTTTGGGAAACCCTCATCCCTGCAGTGAATATACTTCTTGTTCTAAATAATCCAGGCTTAATACATAATAGATTTCTGGCACCAGAGAGACACAGACACAAAAAAGTCAGTAACTTAAATGAAAAAGTTCCAAAAGGCTGTTTGAGCTCAGAATCATGTGCCGTGTCTGAACTAGTTTACCTTGATGGCTTATGTGCCATCTGAAGATGGAAGAATTCCATGAGAAAGTTATCTAGCTGATGTGAATAGCCTTCCTAAATTTAAATACTTGTCCATGTATACTTGTAAATCATTGCTGTGGGTGTAATTGGTGTTGATTTAGTAAACACTAAATTTAAGCTATAGTTCATGTTATGAAAAACTTCTGAGTAACTGCAAATTGAAGAAATAAGATGATGAAAATGCATATAATGATGAGTGTGGCCAAAGTCATAATACCATGACTTTGTGTCAAAAAAAAGAAAAGAAAAGAAAAGAAAAAGATTCCTCCAGTAAAACCATAAGAAATGTCCTATTCAGTTATTTCATATCAAAAAATACTTTGAGTAAATAGTCCAAGTAACATGTGAATGTCTTAATGATTGTCAAAATATAGTACGTTTAGTGCCTTCATCTAAAGTAGTGATGTTTGCTATGAATATTCATTCCCGCAAAAGACCAACTAAAATTGTATTTTCCTTATAGATGATGGAGCTCTTTCCACACCCTTTGTAGCCTTGATATGGAGACCCTAAAGTACATTGGCTGTAACAAAACATGAAAACGATATTTCTAGAAGGCTAGTCCATTTGAATTTTGGAAGAACACCAGAGAGAGAAAGGCGGCAGAGTCAGGCTGCGAAAAGGATTTTCAGATGATACTAATATAACATAAACACATGGAAAGATAAGCTCAAAGAAGCCACAGGGGAGAAGCCTCACAGGAGTACAGAAGGAAGGGCTCAGGGAGACCAGTGAGGTACAAGAGAGATCACTGTCTAGAGCTCCAGGGAGGATCACATGTGTTAGTGTGCCTAAAGGAAGCCCTGGCCTCTGTGTGGGAAGTCCAGGGAGCACAGGCGAAGCATCACCAAGTGTTCAGGCCATGTGGGAGTGGGAACAGGAAGCAAACTAATATAATACAAACATCAGCTATTTGAAGGACTGCACAGTAGTAGACTAGAAATTCTGGTTTGTGGGGAGAATACGTATGGTCTAGAATTGCCAAATTAAGTGCTTTGTTTTTGCTTTTGGTTTTTTATTAAAAAATTTTTTAATGTTTATTTTTGAGAGAGAGAGAGAGAGAGGGAGGGTCTGAGTTGGGGAGGGGCAGAGAGAGAGAGAGAGGGAGACACAGAATCCCAAGCAGGCTCCAGGCTCTAAGCTGTCAGCACAGAGCCCGATGTGGAGCTCGAACCCATGAACCATGAGATCATGACCTGAGCCAAAGTCGGATGTTTAACTGACTGAGCCACCCAGGTGCCCCTGTTTTTTATTTTTTTTTAATATTTATTTGTTTGTTTGTTTGTTTGTTTGTTTATGAGAGAAAGTGTGTAAGCAGCAGAGGGGCAGAGAGAGAGGAGGACAGAGGATCCAAAGCAGGCTCTGTGCTGACAGCAGAGAGCCAGACACGGGGCTAGAACCCAAGAATCGAGAGACCATGACCTGAACCAAAGTCGGACACTCAATCGACTGAGCCACCCAGGTGCCCCTTAAGTAATTTGGATATTAAGGTGTAGATGGTAAAAAGCTCCTGCAAGCTTTTGAGTGATGACACAGTGTAAGCAACATGCTCGTAGAATTCCTGTGGACACTGTATGTATGTGCGTCATCTGTCAGAATACAAGTGCTAGAGGCAAAGAGAGCCTGTAGAAGCTGTGGCGGTGACAGGGGCCTGGACCCAGGGAGTAAAGTTGGGAGTGGGAAAGAAGTACTCAAACTGAGAGATTTTAAGGAAGGAAAACTGATAAAGCTCAGTTGAGTGATTCGAGGTATTTGGAATTAGGAAGCCCACAGGAGAGTTAAACATGTAGCGTGGAAGTGACTTCTTATAAACCTTTCATTCTGAAATAATTGTAGACTCACAAAGAAGTGGCAAAAACAGGGACACCTGGCTGGCTCAGTCGGTAGATGTACAGCTCTTGATCTCAGAGTTGTGAGTTCAAGCCCCATGTTGGGTATACAGATTACTTGAAAATAAAATCTTAAAATATTTTTAAAAAAAAATTTTTTTAATAGAAGTGGTAAAAACAATACAGAATTCCCATGTATACTTCGCCATTCTTCCCCCAGTGATAACACCTTATATAACCAGAACTAGAAAAATGACACTGGAGCACTGAAACCGCAGGCCTTACTCACTTTTCACCAGTTTTTGTATGTATTTTGTGTGCGTGTTTCTATGAAACTTTGTCACATGGAAGTATATAAGCATGACCATAATCAGGATATAGAAGCTCTCTGTCACCCCTTAATGATCACATCCACTCCCTACCCCAAACCCCTGATCCATTTTCCATCACTATCATTTTTGTCTTTTTGATAGTATTAAATAAATGGGATTATACAATATGTAAACTATTTAAGAGAAACTCATGTTTCCTGTATGTTTCTCTCTTCCTCTCAAGCAACTACCACACTCAACAGCACTTCT